TAACACAACTTTTCTATTCTGAGTACACGATCACGGAAATACAGTAAAAAACATATAGACGAGGAATGTGTCGTGTGGTAAGTCACTCGTAAAATGAAAGTAAACTGAATCTGTGCATCAGAGCACTGGTTAATATTAGTTTACCTCATGTTGAATACTAATTACAGTTTCAACTATATCATTAGGTGAAACTTGGTATTATTCAAAAGGTATGCTCAACTAAGTCCTTCATCTTTATGAAGACATCGACTGCTGACCACAGAAAGACAGTCAATCATTTCCATGCTTCATCTTTCCATTCAGTGCAATAAATCGTCCATTTTTGTCCAATTCTAATTCCTGATGTAATTTGTCTTTTGTTCTGCCTCGTTTCTCTTACCACTGCGGATTCCAAGTTAGGTCTCACTTTGTGATACAGTTTGATAATTTCTGCAGTGTGTGCCCTATCCACTATAAGAGTCTTTTCTTTTCTTCTCACCTGTGAGCTGATTTGTGCTTCATCACAGTGAGCTAATGCTGATGTTGTCTGACAAACGAATTCGGAGTAACTTTAATAAATATCTGTGATGTTTTTCTCCAAGAATCAGCACCACAAAGAACTGTTTTAAGTTTAAATTTAAAGTTTTGGCCTTAATGTTGTCATACAGTCCTTTAAATTGCAGATATTCGTCGCTTCTTTGACTGTTTTGACAATTCGAGCCCACAAATATTCGACAGTATATTCTTGTTTGCCAGTGCTGTTGTTGAAGTGTTTGGGAACTCTTCCTCCGTCTAATTATTACTCAGTCGTTGGTCATAGATTCAGAAGATTTTGCACTCCCCTGTGAATCTTCAAGCCCATTGTAGAACAAGAAACTGCTATACTGGTATACCAGATCTACTTTTTTTGCTGTGTACGTAATGGAACAGTCATCAAAGAACTTTATATCGTCAACTGTGTCCAAGGTATCAACTACACTACGTGTTTTCCTGTGATGAGGTAGTCCTTACTGTAAAAAGCCTTTGCAACAGAAAATAAAAAATTCAGTCGACTGTAGACTACCATTAGTGACATCCTATTTTTCACTGATTTTCGGCAAATTAGTTGTACTCAATTTTCAGAACTGCCGTTTTTAGTGTTTTTATCATGGAAATTTATGTTCCCGGAATAAAAATCGTAAAACAGTAAACTGTAGAAAGGCGAAAAACAAAAGTAGAAGTTTCGTGAAGGAAACTGTGATAAAAACTATTTTAACAATTTATTGAAAACTGAAAATTGACGAATACTCTTAGACTACTCGTAATTTGAATATGGGTTTCCTACTTGTTTGCTTGGGGGCTGTAAGTGTTTCAATCTACTGTCATTCAAGAGTGAACCGGATTAAACTTTTAAATTCAGCTATGATAGTATTGCGATATCTCTGCAGTCCCAAGCTTTACTAATGTTGGCCTCCCAGTATCTTGCTCAGAATTCATTCTTATCAGTATTATATCAAAGGTTCTTAATTCCAAATATTTCCAAAGAGACCATTGACTATCTTTGTAGTGACCTCAATCTCTGGCGCTTGTGCTGAATATGCGGTGCTGTCTAATCCAGGGTCTGTGCACCTTCTGCTTTGCCTGATTTCTTTTATTGTTTATATGATGAACACTGCTGGAAGGTACGAGTGCTGTTCTAAACACCAGTGGTTATATTCTAGTCAAACGTTTTTCGGTGTGTTCTGTCCACTTGTTCAGCTATTCGTACATACTTACACCTGCTACTCCTCGTTGAGGAACAAAGGCCACCCACCAGAATTCTGCATCAAACCCTGTCCTGGAAAATCTGTAGTGACTCACGTTTATCACGAGAACACGACTGGTTTAATAAAAACAATTATTATTATAACCAACTGTACCAGTGTTTGTTTTAACGTGCTTTTGTTTGACTGTGCTAATGACAGCTATTTTGTGCTTCCATTCTTTTACACACACTTCGATTGTAACTTCGCGCGAATTCGGTTACCTTCAGTAACCAAGGTTGTATCCTGGCACGATCTCAGTATCCTTTCGATGCCACGAGATCGCCAGCTAATAAACCTCGACTTGGTCCATTAACTGTCTTCTGATATTTGGTTTCTCGGAGATTTTATGGATCTATTTGGTAACGTCCAACCCTCGCCTTCTGATTCGCTTGGCACGTGTTTCTTTGTAGCGGTGTTCATAGTTAACCTCAACTCGACGCCACGCTACAAATCCTTTCCACTTGTTATTCACCGTTTTCACGTCTACTTCTGGTGTTCTTCGGCTTTCCTCTTTTCTATTTCCCTTCAGGATCCCAAGTTAACGCTTGTCTCTTGATGCAGTTTATTGATTTCCGTGATGTGTCCTATCCACTCCCAACGTCTTTTCCTCTTCAGTTGGAAGTTGGTTTATTCTCCCCCTCAGTAGCCTGTTGATGATGATATCCGACCGACGGACATTAAGTATCTTATGTAGACCGGTGTTTGTAAATTCTTGTACCCTTTTGATGATGGTTGTGGTAGTTCTCCAATTTCCAGCTCCATACAGTAGAACTGTCTTGACGTTTGTATTGTAGATTCTGACTTTGATGTTGGTTGACAGTTGTTTTGAGTTCCATGCGTTCTTCAGTTGTAGGAATACCACCCTTACTTTACCAATCCTTGTGTCTACAACTTTATCGGATCTTCCTTGTGCATCGATGATGCTGCCCAGGTACGTGGGAGTTTCCACCTCTTTCCATCAATTGTGATTGAGTTAGTGTTCTCCGTGTTGTATTTGAGGATGTTGATATATCCATTGTGTATGTTGAGGCCTATTGATGCAGAGGCTGTTGCTACACTAATTGTCTTCCACTGCGTTTGTTCGTGTGTATGGAATAAAAGGTATGATGCTCTTGATACTGATCAAAAGTTTATATTATTTATTCTTGACTGTTTGTCATATTTTCTGTAAGTACGTCAGTTACACTATTTAGTTCTGTTATATTACTTTCTGAGAGCACAAATGAGTTGAGCTCAGTTCTTCGTTCTTGCTCTCTTCAAGATAATACAATGAATTATATATATGGAATATTCTTTGCACTTGCCTTTTTTATGTAGCTTTCGCTAGTTCTATATGTTGTTGTTTTTAGGCCTTAATCGTCTTCTTTACTTACTCGTTTGATCTAGCATATTTTGCTTGTATCTCGGCTTTTCGTGGTTGTTTGGGCTGCTATTTCTTTCTGTAACCCTTCTCAAACTGTACAGAAATTCATTTTTGGTCGGTGCGTATAGTGGTCCCGCACCTCGTGTCATACTGGGATCATTATTTTCTTTGTCCGTTTTAAATTGTTATTCTCACTAGTTTTGAACTTTTCTAAGAGATCTTGTAGGAATTGGGGTATGTTGCGGGTAGCTATCTTGCTAGCATATCGAATATATCTATATCATCTGACGACATTCATAAGGAAGAAAACCACGACCAACTTGAGCAAAACCAACTGCATTGATCAAGTCACTTTTCTCGAATACCAAAGAATGAACATGGAGGGCAACCCTTTGAAATCATCTGTTGAAGACTATACACAGGAACAATGATACTGTTGAGGGCCAAACTATCTGCTTCTAGTTCCGATTCTAAGATTATCTAAGTCTGGAGCTTCTGTTGTTACTGTTAGTTGCTCTCATTATCAAATGTTAGTCTATTGTGTAGGCTTGCTGGACCACCATCTCACCTTTCTTTTTGTCCATCTCTTTTCTAGCCCTTCGCATACTCGGCCAGTACGCATTACTACTTGCTGATTAAACGTGAAAGGCTACTAACATGTCTTCTTCCTACTAGTCCAGAGCAATGCGATGACTGTTCCTTCAGAAAATTAACATGAGGATAGTTATGGATTGCCCTCTCCCAATAAAAGCGCTCCAACAAATGCATACACCGAGAAAGACTGTCGTGCTTATTAACCATACTCACACTATAACAATCTATAACCCCTCTCTTTTCACTCGCATGTTCTACCCCTTGTCTTTAGTATCTATTCGCTTATTTTCCTCAAAAAGTAATTTACCCTCCACAATTTCTAAAATAATCAGTCAAGTGTTACTACAGATGATTATCCCAGCTACTATAGGGCAAGTCACACCTAATGACATCCAAAAATCTGTCCTCAGTGAAAAGTCCAACTCAATTAGTACTATAAGTAGTAGTATAGTTAGGATAATCTTTCTGAACGCAAACAATGAAATCAAGACACGACCATTGGGACCTTCAGCTTTATACCGAAAGCAACCAAACAGTGTAAAACTCTGCTGTCCTGCCAACTACGTGAGATTGGAGAGAAATTATTATGTATAACGAAGCGTGAGTAGTCATTTGACAAAGTGAAAACTGGCCAAGAATTTCAACTTCGGATTCATCACACCGAAACCAAGACCCATTCATGTAGATAATGCTGATTGTCCTATTGAATGGCTTGACAGAAACAATAAAGCAAACCGACTGTTGCTCGAGATGTACAATTAAGAGTGCTAAGGAGAAGTTATAGAGGACTTTGTGAAACCTAGAACAATTATCCCCATTTCCACTCTGTGACTTATTAAGTAATCGGTTTATGTTAATCCTATGTTGCCCTGTTTATAAGTCTGTAACCTATCCCTTCCTGCAGCATTCTACGTGAACTTTTAGAAAGTAATATCTCACGAACATGACCAATCAAGTTATCACAAAACAGAGCACAACAGTGATTCCCACTGACATATTGAGGTTTAACTTTCTTTTAAAAGTTTCTACATGTATGCATAATTTAAATTAACCTTTTAAGTACTTCGTGAGCATTTAATACCTGAGAAACCTAAGACTACATTACATTGGAACTGATTCTACGGAACTACAATATCATCAAAATTTACTAATTAGGAATCCGTGCCGGTTAATTAATCGATCAGACGGTGTGTTGTTTTCGTCGGTAGTATAACACTGTCACAGTATTCCTAAGTTTTCTGGAGACCAATTATCTTTAGGAAAAACATTTGAACGAAATTAAGATTCAGGAAATTACTTTTATTCAGAGAAATATTTTGGTTTCTTTTCAATAAATAGAAGAGAAATCATTATTAATAGTACAATCACAGTGCTGATAGAGGAAAAATTACAAGGATAAAAATATATAGTCGAATAAACTTAAGGATAAGTAGATAAATGTATACATGAACAAAACGGAGAACCATGATGAATGCTCCTGGTTTACGTTGAATATGCACACACCAGTTATTTAACAGGTCCGATTTAAGAAATTATAAAGCACACTTGTTAAGGAGTTTGAAACCTGGTGTCTGCATTAAGCATCATCTATATAGTCACTAGAAGAATTGTCTACTGCTATTAGATGGGATCATTAAAATAGACTGATTAGTTATATCTTTATTTGGATCAAACATTTCATTATCCATCAATACTTCTAGTTGCTCATTTAACAAAGTTGGTGAATAATCATAAATAGATGATGAATGCTCTGTACAACTGGCGTTTTCCTCTTTGTAGACATTAACATGTCTAGACGTTGCTAAAGACTGTCCATGAATAATATCCTGCACAGAATGTGGTAAAGAATCAGACACTTGTTCCAGCTGGCCTAACAAGGCTGTAGCACGAATTATAGAGTCTTCCAGTGGAATCTTCATGGATAGTTCATTCACATGCTAAATTTGTCACAAAAACATTTACGTAATATTAACTGCTTGATAACAAAAAGAAAACCAACATGTTCCATAAACTAGTACATTAGATGTAATTATAAATGAATTGCTTATAAAAAAGGCATCACTTCATATGGAAGATAATAGTTTGTGAGGCTAAGACGGCTGACTGAATTTCATTCATTCATATATATATATATATATATATATATATATATATATAATTTGAGCATTGTATACAACGTAATACTTTATACTTCTATGGTGCATTTATATATAATTACGGAATCAACATGTCGAAAGTTTTTCTAACTACGTCAACTCTTTTACCATGAAATATAATTTCTGGTGATTTATTTTTATGAAATAAACTAACCTTTAATATACTGTTTGCATCATATTTTCTATTCATGATATTATCTCTTTGAGTCAAAAGTATGGCGGCAGCGAAAAAGATATGGAAATTCTTAGTCCGATAATCTGTCCAAAACGCCTAGAGAAAGTATTAAACCAAAAATGATAACACTATTAATGCAGAATGGAAAGTCATGAACGGGTTTGACTCTTGTCATTAGCAAAACTCACTGGTAAATATAATCATATCAAGGAGACGTGAGACTTCAATTTAATTTCACATTAACTGGTTACAAAGTAGTGACCAATGTTATGCTTATCTAACTCATAACGCTGATCGAATTCTATTAATCAAGTTGAGTTCTGACTACTAGTCTTCATGAATGGTCAGGAAACCATAAACCTAGGTTTTATTCTAAGCTAGAACTAGTCGACGTAAATTGCTAGCAATCTTGAGGGAATTGACAAGGCAATTGCTATAAATCATTGACCAACCAGTGTAAATATCTCAGTTTTACAGGATATCAGTCGAAGCCCGAATAGTTCAATAGCAACGTCTCATATTATGAAACTGGATGATCCAAACTTGAATTTCACACAGGACACAAGTTCCGGATTGCAGGTACTACTTGGTAACAAGTATAAACTAGCGCGAAACATAAGCTCACAGTTTTATGTCAAGTACCTGATATTGAAATCGCTTTCAAAATGAAAACCTGATTAAACTACTCTGTGCACATCAACTGAGAGAATGAAAATATGAGTATCTAGGATAGTATACTAGACGTAAAAATAAAACTGGTATAATGGAGGGTAGTATGGAAATATAGCTCTTGGAACTATCGTACGAAGGACAATTTTTACACTTTTATTGTACAATTAATAGACGCTCGAACAGTAAAAAATTTTTATTCTCCTATTTTTTAAATTTTGTTTAACCCATAAATCGCTGTCATATACGTTATCGTTCCAGATTTACTATTAATTATTTATTTACTTATTACTCCGATTTATAAGCAAACAGTGTAATTACTTAATTGTGTTGCTGTGTCGTCAGGTATATTGTATAGATTCTGAGTCATGACAGAATGAATTACAATGGAGGACTGATCTGCTTCCTACCTACGTCTTCTGATTGGACACTAGGTTAGAAAGATCTCGAAGAGTAGTAAGCTTTAAGGTCTTGGTTGTTCCTAATTGGTCGATGTCTAAATTGGTAAACAGTTCACCGATCGTACTGGCAATATAAGCTAAATAATCGATAGTCGAACTAGAGAGGAAGAGAGCATAAAACTGCTCTGTTGTTATTAAAACTTGGTCACACGAGACCTCAATATAACTCAACCATCCAAATGCTTGTTTTTTCCGTTATGCCAAAATATTTTCAAGGTTTTCTATATTTTAGTATTTCATTGGTTTCATTTTGTTTTTTTTCTTCGGTACTCCACAGCCATTGATGGGTTTACATTTTTAGATGTTTAAGTTGATTTCCTCTGTGTTAATATAAAGCATGGTCAAGACAAGCCAACGCAAAATTTTCTTAAAATCCTACGACATTTAGCATGTCACAATCATGTGAGGATATAGAGAAATAACAAATAACTAATAAGTGATCGTAGGTGGTATACTCTACCTGTAGCTCATCCAGGGCTACTGCCAATCCCGAGCTCGGGTAAAAGAGGGTTGGGCATGGGGTCGGCAACCCCACCCCGTAGAAAACAACCTTGTCAAAAAACGCTAACCAGATTGTAGGTGGTTGTATACCAATTAAAATAGATTTTAAAACACTGATTAAAGTAAATAAACACGTTTTAGTAAATAATATAATCATCAATAACAAATGAAGAGTTAGAAAAATAGCGAAACGTTTTCGAAATTATTAGTGTATAACTTAGGTAATTACAAGAAAAATAACCAGTTTAGAAAATTAACAAAAAATAAACGAACAACTTATACATGAATTTGAAGAAACTATTGAATTAAAACAATTATTAACATATGATTAATTTAACATACCTCCCATAAAGTCATAGTATCTTTGTATGAGAATTCTCGTTTGAAATGAATTAACAACCAGCGGAAGCAAAACGGCATTTCTTTGGCACTTTTCGATTCTGTAAACATTTATTGTAGAAATTTTAGTAAAAATAAGATTTATAAGATGCGAATTGGTTACCAGTTTACGTAAATGAACAAAATCAAAGTATAAGAACAATAAGAAATTTTATGTGATATGAAATGATAGTATCCTTCTGAACATCTTCAAAGTAAGTTTTCTATGTACTAGATGAAAATTCGTAAGTTCAGAATTATTTAAAATGAGATTTAATTTAACAACTAGAAGCTATCTTCTTATAAAATTGTATTAACTTTGTTAAGTTAATGATTCATGGAAAGCCAGCTATAATACATTCAAGTCAGTAGAAAATTGTTAGCTAGCGATGCAATGTGTAATCATAACGATTTCTAAACACGTGCTGACAATAAGACCAAGTATTAATGTTCTACTACATTTTATTACAAGCAAAAAATTAATCTTCGAAGGCTTACTTATATCGGTCAAACCAAGTATTGAAATTTATTTAGATTAAATGTGGTTACATTAACTAAGATAATTAAACGTATGTTATGCTAACAGCTAAATGGATTTACAATAATCTCAAACATTTAGATATAGTGAATAAACTCAAGTTTGCACAATAAAAGTGATAGCGCATTAAACTATCAACTTTCAGTTAGATTTCTTGAAGATTCACAAGAAAGAAAACTACACTTTTTTGGCAACACAAGTGTGACATAAAAATAAACATACTGAACCAGATGAAGACTTTGTAAAATGCTAAAACACTGTATTATCCAACACAAAAATGCTACATAATCATCTTTGTCATTTCTTTAATATTTAAAGTCATTCTACTTCAAAATAGTTATCGAAATTATATATATATACAGAGAGCGAGAGAGAGAACTATTGCTCAAGCGGTCTTGCATAAATTATTCTCTGCCTTAAGGTACGTTTTTAAAAGTAATAAAAACAGAGAAACCATCCAGTTTCATGTTACATATATAGCAGCTTCGAAAAAAGTATTTAGCCATCTATTTTAAGTAATGAACGAATATACGACAAAGTGTTACCTATTGTTAGAAAAGTCTATTATTGATTAGTCTATAAAGTTATTGACAGACAAGAAAGAATTGAAATAATGGACCGATAGATTTGATCACCATTGAAAACCTGGTCTAACATTGGTCGGTTCATGGTTTCAATCAAATTTAAAAATCCCCACAGTCTCAAACTAACACTTTGAGGAACTCTTGAATATACCAGCTCCATTGAATCCACCGAGTATCGAAGCAGAGCACGCAAACCTTCGGACAGATGTTACTCCACTAAAGGTCGAAGAATCAGGATGACCACCACATAAATCAAGAGAGACCTGACAATATACAAACAAAAGCACTGAAGTCAGACATAGAAGTAACTGTAAACATGCTCCACATTCTATTCAGGAAGATTTGGAAGGAAGAACAAGTGCCAACTACAGACTGAATAGAACGGCACCTCATCAAGATACCGAAGAAAGGAGATCTGAGCAAGTGTGAGAACTACAGAGGCATCACACTAATATCAGTACCAGGAAAGGTTCTCAACAGTGTTGATGAACCGGATGAAAGACTCAGTAGACGCCCAACTTCGATATCAACAGTTAGGATCCCGTAACGATTGGTCTTACACAGACCAAATCAAGTCGCTACGGATAATTGTTGAACAAGCAGTTGAGCGGAACTCGTCACTACACACCAACTTCCTTGATTATGAGAAAGCATTTGACAGTGTGGATAGGAGAATTTTATGGAAAATTCTTCGACACTATAGAGTACTCAAGAAAATCGTCAAAAGCATCCGGAATTCATACGATGGAAGACAGCTGACAGATGCATTCCAAGTGAAAATCGAAGTTAGACAAGGCTGCTTACTCTCCCACTTTCTCTTTCATCTGGTGGTCAACTGAATTACGAAGACCTTCACACCTGAAGGGAAGCACGGAATACAATGGACAGCTTCGACACACCTGGATGATCAAATCGATCTATCCCATACACACGAACAAACGCAGTGGAAGACAATTAGTGTAGCAACAGCCTCTGCATCAATAGGCCTCAACATACACAATGGATACATCAACATCCTCAAATACAACACGGAGAACACTAACTCAATCACAATTGATGGAAAGAGGTGGAAACTCCCACGTACCTGGGCAGCATCATCGATGCACAAGGAAGATCCGATAAAGTTGTAGACACAAGGATTGGTAAAGTAAGGGTGGTATTCCTACAACTGAAGAACGCATGGAACTCAAAACAACTGTCAACCAACATCAAAGTCAGAATCTACAATACAAACGTCAAGACAGTTCTACTGTATGGAGCTGGAAATTGGAGAACTACCACAACCATCATCAAAAGGGTACAAGAATTTACAAACACCGGTCTACATAAGATACTTAATGTCCGTCGGTCGGATATCATCATCAACAGGCTACTGAGGAGGAGAATAAACCATACGAAACATTATGCTATAAATATTTCAGGTAGGTTTACGAATTACTGGTAGAATTACATATACGTATCAAAAATGCGATGGGTATGTGAGGTCATACAGTCAGTAGATAATTACAATCTAAAGATAGATACAAGTTCCTTTTTTAAATTTTGGTTGTACATATTATTTTCTTTATATGTTTCCTGGAATATTTTATCCTGATGTTAATAAACTTGTCATTAATTTAATAAAAATTACCAAGATATTCGCTGAAAGTTGGATCAACTATTTCAATCAGTGAAAATAATTGATTAAATTGTTCTCTGACTGCATTGAGTTCACCATTGAAATTAGATTCCTATAATAAAGAAACAGAAAAGTTCCTAATAGTATATATATATATATATATATATATCCACGTAGTTTTATCATCACATTTCGATAAGCAAACACTCAACATATTAACAATAAATGAATAAAATGTTCAAGAACAAATATTAGACTGTCATCTGGTAGAAAACTCTCTTGCTTGGAGATAGATAGCTAGTTATGACTATTAAAAATATTTAGAAAACTTTTTATTGAATAATTATAATTTGACTATATATTAAACAGATGTTATTATACTGTATAACTGATTCGGAGCACTTCTTACTGCAACAACGTTTATGGCGCAGGTGCATCCACTCTTTGTGTTCTCCCAAATTCCTCGTGTCCCTTTTTTATCTTTCCAAATTTATTTCACTGGATTATACACCTTGAATAACATCTTCAAACCCTAATAATTGCGATGACTGCTTATACTCTTACCACCTCTACCACTATGTATTTGAATCGATAACTGTATCTCTGTGCTAATGTGGTATGGCAACTGGAACTGATGTACGTACGTACGAAGTTCTACGTTGTTACTGACTGACTGACTGAACAACGTTTATATTAGTGAATAACATTATTGTTATTAATATCATTATTATTAATATACAAAAGGGCAAAATAAAGATAAATTTCTCCTACAAATTAAACAAATATGACTAGAGTAGAAGAGAAGTAAAATTACAAGAGAAAACAATCGATAAAGAAATGAACAGAAGATGTGGAAATATGAAATGTTCATTATTTATTGATTTATTTGTTTGATATTGTCATATATGTAAAAATCAAGAAACTCTATTATTATTATTATTATTATTATTATTATTATTATTTAAACACATAAACATTGGTACAAAGGGGCACCAAATACATATGCGCCACATAAATCATTCGATTTGCGTGAGGGGCTGGGATACTACACGGGTGCCCGGACCGAAGTAGGTGGTTTTTTAGGGGGCCACAACCGGAGCCTCCGACCTAAAGGTCTGACCCATAAGGCAGTGGGGCAACGACAGGAGATGCAGTCACTTGATAGCCGGTCACCAACAATTGGTTCATATGCCATTTGTTTCTCTAGGGCTATGGAGCACATGTGCACCATTGCTTTGAAATCAGGGTTTTCAAACTTCTCTATGTGGATTGCCCGTACCCACCAACCCGATTAAAGCGCCGGACATTCGCTTTTTGTCCCCAATTTCGTAAACAACAGCCCCACCGCGAGAAGGTAGTGAGTAGGACTTCCCTGACAGTGGTTGTATACACGTGGTCGTGTGAGAGCATTTCGAGAGGGAGAGCTGACTCTCCCCACTCTCGGCTGTACCAGAGCGATTTGAGGCCATAAGACTTAGTAGAAGATGCCTGTTGCTAGTGTATACACAAGACTACTACTAACACTTAATTTACATTAAGTCACATTCTTCTGTTTTGAGTGATTTTCTTTATTTCGTCTAGTTTGTAGCTCACCCGAAATCTCCATTCGAATCGGCCAAAAACTAGATTTTCCGAAAATCAGCATTGTGAATTTTTTAAAAGTTTCCAACTGCAACATTAAATTAGACATTATGAATCTTACACACTGAATGGCTGATTCTCGAAGACACTCAAAAACAGTCTATAAATATTCATGCTTTTCGATATACCAAAGTCAGTTGTGGCGGGAATAAATCTTCGAACTGATCGTTTGTTTTTGCATTAGTTAGATGAAAATCTAAGCTTTTGGATAATGTGATAAGAAGACGAAGGTTATCAGAATTATGTGATATATTTGCACAATGCATTTTGAAAAATGCGATCACGGCTATACCTGCCAAGACTTTATATATGAAAAATAAAAGTTGAACTAGACTGAAATCCCCTATATGTGTTCAAAAACAATTTGTTCTTACTCTTAACCTATATTACTGATTTATTATCCAGCGTCGCTTTTTACATTACTTGTGTACTTTATTATTATTATCTTTGCTTCCTTTATCTTTTAATTTATCAAGTTGACCTTTCATTGTTCATATATAATATCGTAATAAGTATATGTGTAGTCACTGCTCGAAATGTATTGTGCAAACATATCACATAATCTTGATAACCTGCATCTTCTCACTATATTATCCAAGCTCATCAAGAGGACTAATTGTTTCAAATTTTTGGAAATCTAAGCATTAAAAAAATTCACGTTTTCCCAATGCTTCTGAGAGAATCACTAGGCTAAACATTCAAGAAAGTTGAATGGATATACAAACATTGATGTACGTTTATAATTCTGGATCATTTATATATATATATATATATATATATATATATATATATATCAAAAACTTACTAGTCTATTCATTAAACCAACAAAACACCAAAAAGAATCTTCTTCATCTTTAATAACATAAAGTATTAGTGCGAGTAAATCATTCATTCCTTGAAAGTAACCTGAAGCACAAACATAAATACAAAAAAGAAATATGATTGAAATAGGCGGTTATGAGAACAGATTTAAAATGTTTAACAATAATGAAGAAGTGTTTTAGATTACTGTTAAGTCAGTCAGTCAGTAACAACGTAGAACTTCGCACGTACGTACATCAGTTCCAGTTGCCATATCACACTAGCACAGAGATTACTGTTAAAACGGCATCTCTTAGACATATCCAAGAAAAAAAACTGTCTACATTTTCATGATCAATGTACACGATTTTTAATTGTAAGAATGCATGTTTAAAAGAATTGAGGATATTTATAATTATTCTCAATTTCATTTTAGTCAGTATTTTATCAGCATAAAAGTTTCAAGTGATGTTTTAAAAATTATTTTTAATCAGAACACAAAATGAATTGTCAGAGCGATTTTCTCGAAACTATAATCTATTCCATCTTATTGATAATTCGCTTGATTTTATTTTCACTTTTGTTTGGTTGACGTAAATCAAGAGACTAGGGAAGTGCGACCAAAGAAGTAGGTCATTAGAATAAAACCAACTATTAAAAAAATAAAGTAATCATGCAAATAAACAATTAATCAATGAAAAGTCTAGATGTTGGTTGACGACTAAATACAGTCGGTAGGAAGTCCTATGTTTCATTAGGAAAGTTTGACATTGATGACTTCAAATATCTATTCTAAGATCCTGGAGACGCCGATATATCCTTAAGGCCCAATAAACGATCTCAAATCAACGTAAAATCGATACCTTTCTCAATCAGTTAGTAACTTTGACATATTCAGTTACAAATTAGATAAAGTCTGCATTTAATACAATTAATCACAGAATAATAAATCAGTGAATATAAACAGTCAATTTCAAGTTATGTAATTAGCTCTCACCGAAATCCATATTATATATAGTATACGTGATAAGTATATCTGAAAGACGTGTCAAATTTCCATGACTATCATCTGAGTAGAAATCAGTTTTTCGATCAGTACGTGGAACGTCTTTATCTAATTATGTTGGTGTACAACAAAACAAAAAGAATATGTATCAGTTAAGTGTCGAGAAAAACGAAATGTTTTATACACGAAAAAAGAAACGAGAACAAATGCAGTCAACAATAAATACTGATAGGATAAGATGCTTCTCCGTGCTTTCAGACTTTTTTGGCTTTTCTCGAGTTTTCTGGGACTCCCTAACAATATCGTAGTGTGTATAGATCACGTTACAATAGCAGAATCATGCCCAACAGTGTTTTAAATTATTCGGAAATATTAAACAACGTAAACAGCGTAATGATCTAACGGTTAGTGAAAAATATCAAGATGCGCACTTCTGAGGAGTCCCACAATAGGACGAAAAGGCCGTCCAGTGTTTCCAGGTTTTCAATGGTAGTCTAACATCATTAGGTTCAAGATCTCAATCCAAAACTTAATAATCTCCACAACCCGATAGTGATACTTAATTTTCAGTCAATAAACCGTTCATCAAAGCTACATTTGATTTGGTTATTGACGATTAGTGTTATGTTTGTATATTTTCTGTGTCTGGGGTCTTCCTGCTTATACTTGACAATGGGGAACCACTGTAATTTCCATAATGTGAAGCAAAAACACAAAAACTGATACAGATGAAGGCTTATGGACTCTCCAAAACGAGACCCTTAAACAGGTTGTCCGAAACTGTTCTCGTTAAATCAAATACACTCATTTACATACTGATTTTACCATTCGCTTGTTGATTATTCGATAATCATATGAATTAAACGATACAGAGTTACTACAAAACACAGAAAAAGTTAACTGACGGTAATACAAAGAATATAAATGTCATACTGGGCAAAATTCCACACATATCATACTAATACAAACATATTAACCAGAAATAATGCTACACTGGAAAAGACGGCTAGGATATTACATTGCAAATAAAACTTATGTCATAAAATGTTATATCAAGTTAGAAAAAACGTGAACTCGCCTTTTCATTCGGATTTATTGGTTAGTATTATTGACCATTATACAATATGCATAGAATCACACATGGTCATTACTATTATTATTTAATAGTTAATGGAATTCAAATTAAAAACTCTCAGTCATTTCCACCTAAACGTACCCGAGACGGTGGTCGGGCTTACCTATCGTGATGACTCTACCGAGCTACCGAGCTGGAACATATGCTCCGGTAGGTTATACCATGCCAGGCAGGTCGATTAAAGAACGGTAGGACTAAAAGTAGCAACTCAAAGTCTGAGGGCGATGTCGTACTGCTGACTGTAGAGGGGTGTGACGTCAGTAAGGTTTTCTCTCGTTCAACCAGCATCTGCAGCGATGGTGCCTTCTCACAAGGATGGGTGGGGTTAGAAAATGTTGACTCTAAAAATGTCACACCTCACCTTACCTCACGGATTTCCGTCTCCGGAGGTAAGGCCCTTTGAAGAACGGAGCTAACACGAAAAGACCGTGCGCGACCGGCCTCAAGCAGTTGTCCCTTGGGCACTGCGGTCACGCTCCCAGGTCGTTAAGGCCAACATTAATCCAACTTCATTTTCAGGTTCCTCAGGAAATACCCTTCCACGGTGTGGGCAGCCGGGAAGTGACATCAGCCCTCATACCCGTGACAGCACAAGAGACCAAGGTGGTCACATTCAAATCCTTCCTACACCTCCTAATACCTCTCTTATCCTCCCGACTAACCCTCCTCACGTCTCTTTATCACCTCGCACCGCTAGGGCAAACGATTCGAGTACGCGGAACGTTATTCCCGGTCTCCTGAAACCAAACTCTAAACTACACACACGAGCTTTTAACGTCCGAACACTGTGCCAAATAGGACAACATGCTTCCTTAGCTAGGACTTTAGAATCTCGCGCCATCGATGTGTGCTGCGTCTCCGAAACGCGCATACAGAATCCGAGTAGCATCATTCATTTGACATCATCATGTAAAAATAAAGAACCAACTCGATTCACACTACATGTATCTGGGAGCCCAGATGCTGCTTTTCGTGGATTTGCCGGCGTAGGTATAGCATTGAGTCCTAGGGCAGAACTAGCTCTCTTAGACTGGATCCCAGTAGACAGTCGTTTGTGCGCTGTCCGACTAAACGGAACAGTAAGAATCCGAGAAGATAGGGACACTCGTCGTTGCCTCTTCGTCGTCTCTGCCTATTCTCCCACTGACTGCAGCGCAGATGATGTAAAAGATGAGTTTTACAGAAAGCTTTCCGACCTTCTCCGAAAAGCTAGGCGCTCTGATGTAGTAATAGTGGCCGGTGACTTTAATGCTCAAGTAGGTAAACTAAGCGAAAGGGAAAGAAACCTAGGTGGATCTCAAAGCGTCGTGGCTCAAAGAACAGATAATGGCGACCGTCTGTTGCAGCTATGCTCAGATAACCGCCTCGTTCTTGCAAATGCTAACTTTAAGCATAAGGAAAAACATCTTTTAACATGGCGACCCCCTAATTCGTCCCAACGATGGACACAAATAGATCACATCCCTATCAGCCACCGATGGGGGGGGGGCTCGATAGAAGACTGTCGCTCATTCTGGAGCACATGCTAAGACTCAGATCATGCTCTAGTGCGAGCACGTATTTGCCTGCGTCTTACTGGACGTAGGAATGACGCTGCAACGAAGCCTCTTAGGGTCCTACTTAATGATAGTCAAGCTAAGAGTATATTTCAGGAACAACTAGGCAAACAGTTAGGCAGCCATGAAAGTGATGCCCACCCCGAGGAAGCGTGGAATGACACCTGAAAAGCTGTAGAAACAGCAGTGATGTCTGCAAGTAAGGTAAACTAGAAGGTTAGGGAGAAACACTGGATCTCTGCAGCATCTACCGCACTGATAGATGCTCGAAAACTCATTCCATATGGCTCTGAACATAACGAAGAGCGGAGTCAGCTTAAGCGCAAGCTGATAAGAAGTCTACGCAATGATCGTGAACAGTGGTGGGTAGCGAAAGCAAGAGCGATGGAAAAGGCAGCGGCAATAGGTAACAACAGACAACTTTTCAGACTTGTTGAGGAAACCGACTGTTAACGAAACACTCTCAGAGAAAGATGGACATATTATACATTCTCAATCCAGGAGATTGGATCGATGGGCAGAACACTTTAGGGATCAGTTCAACTGGCCTTCAGCCACACTTCGGTTTCTCACGATCTCCAGTCTACCTGAATGGCAAGTTAATGTAAGTACTCCGTCCCTTTACGAAGTTGAAAAAGCCATAGGAAATCTGAAACGAGGAAGAGCAGCAGGCCCTGACAGGTTTACTCCTGAGATTTTTAAGGATGGTGGTCCAGTATTAGCAGTGAAATTAACTGAGGTCTTAGGTGGAATTTGGGAAATGGACGTAATCCCATCTGACTGGTCTTAATCACTGATTGTGCCAGTCTATAAGAAAGGAAAAAAGTCCTCTTGTGACAGTCACAGAGGAATCAGTTTGACTAATACAGTGTCTAAAATATTAGCTTCAATAATACTTCGACGCCTAACCAAAGCTCGTGAAGAACAGACTAGAGAAAACCAGGCTGGTTTTCGACCTGGGCGTGGTTGTGTGGACCAGATATTCACACTACGTCAGGTTCTAGAACACAGACACACATTCAGGCGCCCTACAATGGTAGTATTTATTGACCTTAAGGCGGCATTCGACTCTGTTGATCGTGAGGTTCTATGGCAGTGTTTGTCACTGAAAGGAGTACCAAAGAAGTACATTAACCTTATAAAGGCTCTCTACTCGAACACAACTGGTCGAGTGAGAGCTTATGGCGAACTGTCATCAGAATCGATTACCTCAAGTGGTGTTCGTCAGGGCTGTCCACTCTCTCCATTCTTGTTCAACTTTGTCTTCGACGTATTTTTAGAGATAACACTTTCCTCATCTAAATTCACAAGGGTTGAACTTCTACCGGGAGATTCACTTGTTGACTTAGAATATGCAGATGACATAGTTTTATTTGGTGAAGACGCTGAACAAATGCAGTCTTCTGACCACTCTAAACAACAAGGCAAGTATGTTCGGGATGCGATTCTCTCCCTCGAAATGCAAAATGTTGCTTCAGAATTGGGTTGCATCGACACCTGAACTAATGATAGGGAGTGAAGTAGTTGAGTGTGTCGACCGCTTCATTTATCTTGGAAGTCTCATCAGCCCTTGTGGTCTGGTGTGTGACGAAATCTCAGCACGGATACAGAAGGCTCGACTAGCTTTTGCCAACTTACGTCATTTATGGCGTAGGCGAGATATCCGTCTATCAACCAAAGGACGTGTTTACTGCGCAGCAGCCCATTCCGTCCTACTTTATGGCAGTGAAAGATGGCCGGTAAGAGAAGAGGATATTCATAGGCTACTAGTATTCGATCATAGGTGTCTTCGAAACATTACTCGTATATCCTAGGACCATCGAGTAAGTAACGCAGTTGTTAGGAAACGGGTACTAGGTAAGGATGGCAAATCAATTGAAGTAGTGAAACTTCATCAGTTGAGATGGCTGGGACACGTATTACGTATGCTCAACCACCGACTGCCCCGACGTGCGATGTTCAGTAGTATAGGAGTAGGTTAGGAGAAAACTAGGAGCGGCCAGACCAAAACATGGCACAAGTCCATGAAGTCACTGACAAGTGGACTGAGCCATGTTGGTAGGTGTAAACTACCTGGTTGGGGTCCGCGAGACGATAGCAACCGATGGTTAGAGACCCTGAATGACATGGCTCAAAATCGTTTGCGATGGCGCAGGTGTATCCACTCTTTGTGTTCTCCCAGATTCTAATATTCTGAATTCTTCATGTTCTTTATTTCCTTTCCAAATTTATTTCACTGCATTATACTCCTTGAATAACATCTTCGAACCCTAATGTTTCCGATTACTACTTATACTTTCACTACCTCTACTACTACGGGATTTGAATCGATAACTGTACTTCTGTGCTAATGTGGTGTGGCAACTGGAACTGATGTACGTACATACGAAGTTCTACGTTGTTACTGACTGACTGAGATCAAGACACTTATGAAAGAAAGTAAAGAAAAGAATGCATGTCGAGATCATAGTAAAATGAGAGGTTGAACATATTGCCAAATGTGACTTAAGTTGGTAAAAGCCTAGTGAGATTTCTAAATCCATACAGAGATTTCACCAGACATCAACTAACCAGAGCTGGTACGACTCCAAAGGTCAGTGTATCAGTCATCGTACTAAACCACTTCACTCTCTATGATCAGTTTAAGCTTTAAAGCAGATCAGTCCTGAGGTAACATTTTGCATTTAGGAGTGAAGCATACTCTAATTATACTTGGATTAATACTAAGCGCGTTTGGACTTAACTGAAGCATGTATTTGTTATTTTATAATAATGAAAATACATTGTCAGTTTATGAAATTCAAAAGAACTATCCGGACGCACAGACGTCTGAGGAATATCATCCTATCGATGGCAATCGAATCAGGTTTTGATGAATTGGCATCCAATCGCTTTCAACTACCCAGCTTCAACGAGATACCATCCCTGTTTTAATTTAAAATAGTTGATAGATGATCAAAATCTCAACCTGAATCCTTGCAAATGGTTTTAGATTTTTTACCAGATAACGGATCAACTACAACACATTTATTCGCATACCTACTAGGACTCCATTATTAGAATGATTAAGAATTGTATCAGCAGTTAAAGAAGTGATGTATTCGATTCATTTAACAACCAAAAAAGAATTTTGTGTAGGCAGTTTTGTTTACTGAAAAGGTATTAATCAAAGGTAATATATTCACTGGCGATCAACTGATTTCAATGATTTAATCTTTTTAAATTCATATTTTTATCATTATAATAAAGATATTAATTAGAAAAGAATAATATTTCTGATCACAGACCCATACTTTTTGATAACATTCAAAGGAAACAGCATGAAACAATGGTAACTGTTAGAAAAAGAAATGAACAGTACTGAAATGCCAAATTTTTGCTAGTTATATTCCGAAAATTCATACATAATTTATGATGAATGGTCACTTTTGAGTATTGAGTAATGTAAGGGGAAGTCAAATGCACAGGCTAAATCAAGTGACATCTAAAAATAATTAACTTTCTCCAAGGGAAGCGAAACATTTGCTTACTTGATAAACATTACAATCGGAAAATGAAGTTATTAGTAATCCCTGTTACGTTATTTAGATGAACGAAAGAAAATAACAATAAGGGACATACCAATAAAACATTTACGATCACGAAACAATGCAAACCTAGCTTCTCGATCAGGGGACATTGACTTCCAAAATGTCTTCAAGATGTGGTATTCACGACTGAAAAAAAAGAAACGTAAAACGCTGGAGAATGTGGTTTATTGTATAATGAAGTAAGAATTCATGAGGAATATAGCTATATGAAAGAAACATTTAGAGTTAAACTCATTGAGTAATAACCACAATTACAAGACAAAAAATAAGGAAATAAGTTATCTGCACTTGTCTATTTTGATTAAGAAGCCAGATGAAAGTTAATCAATGACGCTTTCTAGATATAAAGATCAAATTTAAGTCTTCTGATCACCATGATTTCCATTTAGGTCACATAGGGAAAAATTTTGCTCGTAAAATACAGTTTCACTTGCATGACGAGCTACGAGCAAAACAAAATAGGCTTCGAGTATTTTAATCACCACTATTATCCAAATGACAATGACAGAGCGTCATCCGTTAGGCTATGCAAATCATTGTGTATTTAAGGAATGTTCTATATAATTTGAGGTGAAAGTTTGACCTGATGATTTCAAATAAACCTGTCATAGGGTACTGTTAGTAATAAAATAACGACAGCTATGATATCTAAACGAGTAAAAATTGAGTTTCTGACGTTTAATGGCGCAGTGTAAGTCGCTTCTTCAGAGAACACAAAAACAATTGAATAAATAGTACAAAGGAACAAAGCAGAATTATTTGGTATATCTGAAACACAAATCTGATAAAGTTTATGCCGAGTCACTGTGGCCAAGGTGATGTGAAACATGCTGGTGTATCCATGTATACATTAGTGGGTATTATCCAAAACTTGTCTTGATTCAGTTATTTATTTATTCTATGAAGAAGCAACTTACACTGAGCAGTGAAACGTCACATATTCAATTTCCCACACATTAGGATATTAAAAATATATCAATATTGATTGAAGGGGTTCGCATTTTTCAGTTATTAATATCCACGTTTGTTATGCCATATGGGCTTATTTATTTGAACAAATAAATATTGGTACAAGGGGGCACCAAATATACATGCGTCACACAAAACAATGAGAATGGGAAGAGAAAAAAAGAAGGTAAGGAGCGTTGTTGCTACCTTGACGTGGTGGTCGGGTTTGCTTATCGTGATGAAGCAACCGAGCTATACTGGCTGGAACAACCGTTCCTCAAGGTCCTAACATGTCAGACAGGTCGGTTGAAGAGCGGTAACACTAAAAGCAACAAACCCAAGGTCCGAAGGCGAGGTTGTACTACTGACTGTACAGAGGTGTGACAGCAGTAAGGTGTTTCCTTCAGCATAACAGCAATGCTGTCTTCCCATAAGAAGAAGTGGGGTTAGAAAAGGTCGACCCTAAAAATGCACACCTAACCTTATCCCACGGATATCTGTCTCCGGCGGTAAGGTCTCAACAAGTACGGAGCTAACACAAAAATCACTCATAAAAAGTTCGTGTGTGACCGACCTCAAGCAGTTTTCCCTTGGGCACTGCGGTCACGCTCCCAGGTCACTAAGACCACCTCTAATCCAATTTTCTTTTCAGGTACCTCCAGAACAACCCTTCCACGGTGTGGGCAACTGGGAAGTGATAACCGCCCTCATACATCTAACAGCACTCAAGACCACTGTATTCATAATCAACCTCCCTCTTCAATTCTTATTATTCCTCCTTCATCGACTTTCAACACTAAACGTCCTCTTTCGGCTTCCTCCTCAAGTGTCACCATAGCCAATGATTCTAGTGCGCAAAACACTGTCCCAGGTCTACTGAAACCTCGCTCAAAACTACACATTGGAGCCTTCAACGTACGCACCCTATGTCAAATCGGTCAACAGGCTTCCTTGGCTAGAACCCTAGAATCTCGTACCATTGATGTGTGCTCTGTCTCTGAAACAGGCATACAGAATCCTAGTGTGGTTATTCACTTGACCTCACCTCGCCAAAACGGAGAGCCAACAAGATACACCCTACGTGTATCTGGTGACCCGACGGCCAGCTCTCGTGGACTGGCAGGCGTAGGCATAGCACTAAGCATGAGGGCGGAACAAGCACTGTCAGAGTGGATCCCCGTCAACAGTCGTCTATGTGCTGTTCGGCTGAACGGCTCCGTAAGAACTCGGAAGGATAGGGACACACGTCGTTGCCTTTTTGTCGTTTCTGTCTACACTCCCACTGACTGCAGCTCAGATGAAATGAAAGATGAATTTTACAGAAAGCTTTCTGAACTTCTTCAGAGAGCTAAACGTTCAAACGTAGTACTCTTAGCAGGTGACTATAATGCTCAGTTAGGTAGCTTAAACCAAACAGAAAGACATTTAGGTGGGTATTTTAGTATTCCGGCACAACGAACAGATAATGGTGAGCGTCTGCTGCAACTGTGCTCAGATAATCGTTTATTTTTAGCAAACACAAATTTTAAGCATAAGGAGAGACATCGTCTAACATAGCGACCCCCTACACCAAACCAACGATGGACTCAAATAGATCATATTGCCATCAGTCATCGTTGGAGAGGGTCGGTAGAAGATTGTCGCTCATTTTGGAGTACCTGCTTGGACTCCGACCATGCCCTAATACGGTCACGCATCTGCTTGCACCTCACTGGACGCAAAAAAACTACAGTAAAAAGACTAATTCGAACTGAACTGAGCAGCGAGAAAACTAAAAGTAGGTTCCAGGAACAACTGAGGTCACGATTAGGTAGTTCCGAAAACGAGGTTGACCCAGATATTGCTTGGAAAGCTATACAAACAGCTGTAGAAACAGCAGTGACATCTATCAGTGATTTAAACCACGGGGTTACGAAGAACCAATGGATTTCCTCAAGGTCTATTGCACTGATGGATTCTCGTTAACTGGTCTAATCAGGCTCTGAACATGATGAAGAGCGACAACAAATCAGATCTAGGTTAACTAAAAATCTAAGGAACGACCGTGAGCAGTGGTGGGCAACGAAAGCAAATGAGATGGAAAAGGTGGAGGCTATAGGGAACACAAGACAGCCTTACAGACTAATAAAAGAAACTGGAATTAATAAGTCAAGTGTAAGTCAGACTATTTCGGAAAAACACGACACCCTCATCTGTTCTCAGTTCAGACGTTTAGAACGATGGGCGGAACATTTCAGAGAACAGTTCAACTGGCCTTCAGCTACTCTACAACTACCCTCCATTCCCAGACAATGTGAATAGAACATTGAAGTAGGTCCCCCAACTCCAGCAGAACTTCAAAAGGCAAAGCTAATCTGAAACGAGGAAGGGCAGCTGATCCAGATGGGTTCGCTCCAAAGGTCTTTAAGTATGGCGGTCCAATTTTAGCGATTAGGTTGACTAATATTTTAGCTAAGATCTGAGAGTTAGACGTTATTCCATCTGACTGGTCGCAATCACTTATCGTCCCAATATATAAGAGAGGGTCAAAATCATCCTGTGACAACCATAGAGGGATTAGTTTAACTAATATAGTATCTAAGATACTAGCCTCGATAATTATCAGACGCCTAACTAAAACTCGTGAACTGCAGACACGAGAGAATCAAGCTGGCTTCAGACCTGGTCGTTGCTGCATCGACCACATATTCACCATTTGTCAGGTTCTAGAACACAGACATACCTATTGGTGTCCGACAATGGTGGTCTTTCTTGACTTAAAAGCAGCATTTGACTCGGTAGACCGCGAGATTCTGTGGCATTGTCTGTCATTGAAACGCGTACCCCATAAGTACATAAACCTTGTAAAGGCTCTTTACTCGAACACTACTAGTCGAGTCAAAGCTTATGGCGAACTGTCATCTGATTTTGCAACCTCGAGTGGTGTCCATCAAGGCTGTCCACTTTCTCTATTTTTGTTTAACTTCATCATAGACCTACTGATGGAAACAACATTCTCGTCGACTGGATTCTCGGGTATTGATCTCCATCCAGGAGATCCACTTATCGACTTAGAATACGCAGATGACATAGTCTTGTTTGATGACGACGCTGATAAAATGCAGTCTTTTGGTAGCACTAAGCAACAATACCAGAATGTTTGGAATGCGCTTCTCTCCCTCTAAATGCAAGTTTTTGCTTCAGGACTGTTCTGCGTCAACACCTGAACTAAGGATAGAGAGTGAAGTAGTCAAACGCATCGACAACATTTATCTTGGAAGTCTGATCGAGAATAATGGGTTGGTGTCTGACGAAATCTCAGCACGGATTCGAAAAGCTCATTTGGCTTTTGCCAACTTAAGTCACCCATGAAGGAAGAAAGATATCCGTCTATCAATTAAAGGACGAGTATAGAGCACAGCAGTTCGTTCTGTCCTACTTTACGGCTACGAAACTTGGCCATTAGGATTAGAAAATACTCGTAAGCTACTAATATTTGATCACAGATGTCTTAGAAATACTGCTCGCATCTGTTGGGATCTTCATCGACTGAGATGGTTGGGCCACGTGTTACGTATGCCCAAACACCGATTACCACGAAGTGCAATGCTAACCGGTGTTCGGGATGGTTGGAAGAAAGTTAGAGGCGGTCAAACCAAAACTTGGCATCAGTGCTTGAAGTCACTAACTTCTAGTCTGAGCCATGTTGGTAGATGCAGACTACTTGGTTGGGGTCCGCGTGACTGTCGTAACCAATGTTTGGAGACTCTTGGTGACATGGCTCAGAATCGATCACAATGGCGTGGGTGTGGTGTATACACTCTCTGTCTTCCCTTAAACTAAGAGATTAAAATCGCTTCATATCTTTCTTTCTACGAACTAATTCTTTCTTCTTGTACTATATCCTTATATGAAATCTTTCTTTTATATATTACCACCTCTGAATTAACTACTTTTATGAATCCGGTGTCCATCGTGTTGTGTTAATAAGGTATGGCAACTTTGACCGATGAATATATGTACCTGGTCCTACGTCGTAGTTGACTGACTGACTGAGTATAATAATAATAATAATAATAATAATAATAATAATAATAATAATAATAATAGTAATGGGGGTAACGGAAAGTTACAACCAGAAGGATTCTTTCAGTTAAGGAAGAAACAACCACTTCTTATGAAGAAAGTAAAAGAAGGTTACAGCGAAATCGCCACTGGCTTCTATTCTGAGCCACATCTGATAACGTATCTAGCCGCTATGTTGCACCATTTCTAGGAACCCAGCCAGGGATTCGAGAAGGACCAACAGTAGGAACCGCGATACAAAAAAGTTAATATATTTTTAACTTCTACATAAGAAGATTCTAGTATTCTCTAAGTAATGGTTACCGCTGATTGAAATAACCAACGTCTATCATGACAACATAAAATAACGAACCCAGTACCATCCGCTTCAAACACCTTCGCGTTATCCACGTAATAACTAAGTTCAGATAGCCACTAGCTTGTGCCATGGAGTGAAGTTCAATTCATTTTGTATTAGTTTTTTAATCTTCCCACCATCATCTAGGGATGCAATTAACTAGCCTCTTTTTGGCATATGTGGATCCTGTGAAGATTGCCTCGACATTACCATCAAGTCAAATGCATTTTAAGGAGGGAAAAAAGTGTCTTGGTTTCCAGTGCTAGCCACTATCTATCTTTACTTATAACCAATGGAAAATGTTAGTAGCTGAGATAAGTAACTGGTTGGATTAAAATAAAGCATATTTAAAAAAGCTAGACCTTTAAAGAACGAATATACAAAAGTTATTGTTTTGTGTAAGTTGACGAGGTAAGTATATATATATATAACTTGAAAGTTAACAATAACAATTTTCAAATGCTTTGAGTTATATATTTAAAGATTTATTTATTATATTAATTAATAAATAAACGTAGTTTTATAAAACCGATAAAAATTAATTGACGAAAAAAGCAAAAGAACAGGAAACTTGATCATCATCATCATCATTAACAAATAATGGACAGCTAGAAACTTATTTAGTTTTTATTTTGTAAACAAATGCTTATTAGTTGATGAAGCCTTCAACGCAATGCATTACAGTGAGAATATAAGTGAAAGAAGAAACTTTGGTAAATAAATATTTATAGTTATTGAAGTTGGGCAATGACTAGTAGTGGAATACAGAATATATATTTCATTCTATTTGAAACTCGGATAATTAAATTGAACTGTTAGTATTTACACAGACTCGAAATCATTACTTTTTACTCTACCATTGAGCTACAGAGAGAGAGAGAGAGAGTGGTCAACTGCAATTCTTGACATCAATAATTGGAAGATGAACACCACTATGAACAGAATCTTCTTAATTGTTTGTACTTTACGTAATTTTAATTTGAAGGCTATAGGTTGATATATTTACAAGATGAGATGAGTACGAATATTAATGCTGCTTGGTCTTTAAGATTTCATGAAGATATTACTGTGGGGTTATATATATTGCCTGTTTGCTGACCGAATCTTCTTATTATTGACCTTTTCCTACCATATTTTGTTGGCAACGAAGCAGAATTTTGTATTCATAAATAATGATGTAAATCTATTGTCAATACGTGCATATATTTTAGTCCTATAAGAAATCGCTCAGTTAATTTACATGATAAAATACTTTTAATATTATTTAAAACTAGCAAACCTTTTTTCAACTTTTAATCTTTCATTTTCTTCTGCTGTATAAGTCCATTGATAATAACCGAGCAAATACTTCCATACTATCGGTTTTAAATCATTTTCAATACCCTGCATGAAATAATAATAACAATGGTAATTATGCGAAACAAGAAGGAAGATGACGATAAATATACCTTATAAAGTAGAAAAAATAATCGTGTTCGTTTTAGTTGGTACTCATTTATTGTTAAACACAGTATAATAAAATTAGTTTAGGTGGCTGCGACACCTAATAAGTATGCCCAACCATTGCCTACCTCGATCAGTGATGATGGCTGGTAGAGTAAGCTGGAAGAAAGCTAAAGGTATAAAAACCAAAAGTTCATGTGATCATTAGCCTTTGGAGTGAATTGTGCTAGTAGGCGCAAACCACCTGGTTGATGGTTTGTACCAATAGTTAGAGACTTTGAGTGACATGACTTAGAATTGGTCGTAGATATATTCACTCTTTGTCTTTCCTTGGACCTTAAGTTTTTTTTTAACCGCGTCAAGAATTTTTTTAACCTACGAATGTATATTTTCTGCTCGAATCATATCTTCTACTACGACTAACGGTGTGACAGAATGATTGGAAAGATTAGGATAGTTTGTCTGTCTACAAGTTTGAAAATATCAACGTAGATGTACGAAAACAGGAATCTCTATTTCACTACTTATACTACTCTAACATCTTGTCGTGCTAATGTGCTGTGACAACTTGAACTGATTTATATATGTCTCAGTTTCTCTACGCTACGTATGACTAACTAAATGACATAATTTGTTTGTTATGACTATCAATAAATGAATAATAAAAAAATGTACTGTGTCAGTTGGACGGGATAATTGAAAAAAGGCATACCTTGACACTAAATTATATTGAAAACGAGTGCAATTCAGTCTGCTGTGAACACAACAAATAATGCTTTGGACCATATCTGTTATAAAGCAACCTAAATATGTGTAGCTACCAAGTCTGTAATAAGAAATAATTTTGTTTCATAAACAATGTCAAAATGCTTGTCAAGAAATACGTAAATTCACTAGGCATTAAAATCAAATTATTTTATATACTTTATAGGACTTGATAGACTTGTAAAAGTTGAACCACAATATGAAATTTACACTACTCATAGTGGGTAAAACCATAATGGCAGTACTGAACTAATGGTGAACATCCGAAGTTTACAAAGTTTTGATAATTAGAAAAATTGTTAAACGATAGAGTGATAGGTTACAATATGATATCTTGGACTATGTAACATTTGTTTTTGTTTTCAAAACTTATTTGGGCTGAGCCATATTTTAGTTGTCCCATCAGTAAACAGTAGAAATTCAATAGTGAGACATAAACATGATTCTTACTAAGTATTACTTCCTAACTGCTAAAATATTCTTCTCTTCTAAACCAATTTTAGACAACCCACTAAACATTATGGTCGGCATAAGTGATCCGGTTATAAACATGATAGTGATCAGGATACATCGACAACAATATAATCTAGTCTTGATGATCTAAGAGTAGTTTTTTCTCTCTTATTTCTCTAATCTTTTCACATTTTTTGACTCGTTGGTATTTCGACAAATTCAAATAATGGTGTTCCTTTACAATGAAATGTAAGAACTAATGGTTTGTAATTTAGCAGGAATCAAAAGTTTTATCAGATTATACAAGTTTTTGGCACGTTCACGGTATTTTTCTAGTAGATAAATGTGTTTTTGAAAACGTTCTTGTAAAGATATTCGTGATGTGCGTTGAGAAGCCTGGGGAGATCACCTGGTAGTCTCTAAAACTAAGCTTAAATTCAGCCATATATACTATCAACGGGACATTATGCAAACAAACAGAGTGATAATAGGATACCCTTGCTAACCTGTGTATGTCACATATAGGATCATATATTTTCGCCAATGACATTAGATCACGAATTTGGTTCAGATATGGGGACTATACTTTTTTGTCGTTATGAAAAAGACTCTCTTACGAATGTTTTCTAGACTGATCATTATACTCCCATCCCATACTGAATCCCCATACAAAAATCAAAATGAATACGGTGAATTATCATTTTTAAATTGCTCAATTGAAAGAAATCTAATTGATGATGTAAATCAGACTATCCAGGGTAAACCAACACACTCTAATCGTTATACTGTCTTCAACTCAGTACAAAAATCTCTTTAGAAGAGCAACCAAGAATATGACATCCGAAAAGGCTAGGCAAAAGGAACAGAAACACGGTCAAGAACTTATAATTTTCCTATGAATATTAATAAATATATATCAAAACGAGACGATTTATTATTAAGTAGTAGTTCAAATGAAATAATATGGATTGGTGCTGTAGTTTTACCATACCGCCAAAGTACAACAGAAAAACTAAAGAATCTTAACATAGAATTCAAGCACACTACAAAACAATTGACACCCTTAGGAATTGAGATAGCAGAGATTTGTAGCTCAAGAGAATGATTTTGGTGGAGTTTTGTTCTCCAAGCTAGATGGTTTAATCATGGAACTTTCATCGTTTTTTTCAACGACATCATCATCACACACTTCTACTTGAAGTTTTCTTCAATAACCATCATATCGATATTAAAAATATTAAAGTAATTTTAAAAAGTTTTCCCAACTACAAAGAAAGGAGAGTAGCTAAAGATTTCCATATACTGCTAGATCCTACTGCCCTCAATAGGAAAAAAGGCCTTATTATCCATACGACTTGGAACATCTATCCGAGTTGCCATATCTAATTCTATTCACATCACACCATTACCACACATACAAACACAACTTTTCAGAATCATTTGAATTCATAGAAAACCGGGGGAAGAGAAATCATCTCAGTAAACATGGTGAAATGAAGGGATGTATATAATGTACTTGAAGAACTTGCTGTATAAAATTATTAACTTTTAACGATTGTCTTTAAAAAGTAACAGATTAATTATTTTTGCTCTGATTAAAGTTTACTTAGTGAGAAAAAGAAATGGTAATATGATACAGTTTTCAAAGAATAGAAAACCTTATTTTAAGGATGAAGTTTGTAAGTCATTTACAAATTTCACAATTTGTTTTGACGAATAAGTGAAACAGGTTACCGGTATTTGAATTAGTTCGATTAGGCTACGAAAAGTGACACAAGTAGTGTGGAAATAAAGTAGCTTGAGATTCTAACATTTCTGTTGAAATTGATAGATTTTAGTAACAGAAAAGTATACTTACACCATAACAAACTAGTAGGAAATGTATGCCCAGTTCTTCAAGTCACTTGATATGAGGAACATATCTTTATATGATTAATTAGTGTGTATGAATTATCGATAAACTTAACAATAAGATAACATAATAATTGTTTTATGTTTCGTCTTTTATTTATTTATTTGAACACAAAAATATTGGTACAAGGGGGCACCAAATATATATGCGCCATACAAAACAACGAGAATGGGGAGAGAACAGAGGCAAGGAGCGTAAAAAAAGAGGAAGAAGAACAATAAAGACTAGATCAGTGTAAGGAAGTGTAATAATAATAATAATGGGGGTAACGGAAAGTTACAACCAGAAGGATTCTTTCAGTTAAGGAAGAAACAACCACTTCTTATGAAGAAAGTAAAAGAATGTTACAGCGAAATCGCCACTGGCTTCTATTCTGAGCCATATCTGATAACGTCTCTAGCCACTGTGTAGCACCATCTCTAGGACCCCAGCCACGGAGTCGTGAAGAACCAACAGAAGCCAGCTCTTTACAGCTTTCTTTCATACCCCGACATCCTGTCATACACTGACCACCTTTCCACTTTTCCCAACCAGTCCCAGAGTCGGCAAATAATGCACGACGTGGAGTTCTCTGGGACGACATTCATAGAACATGTCCAAGCCACCGAAGTCGTTGTTTCAAGATTGTGACACCAATTGCATTATCGTCTCTCTGCCCGAACACACGATGCCGAACCTCTGCATTACTAACAGTCTTGTAGAAGTATTTTGCACTTCGAAGGTGCAAAGCATATACCATACTTACGGACACTGATTGCCAACTGATTAAATGAGGATTGCATGCCTTGGGCATTATCGAACAGTAAGACAATATCATCCGCATACTCAAGGTCGAGAAGTCTTTCTCCAGGCAACAGATCCACACCACCATTACTTACATTCATCAGAGCTGTTTCCAGAATGTCATCGATGGCAAAGTTGAAGAGGAATGGTGAGATTGGGCAACCCTGTCTAACCCCACTGCTCGAATAGAACAATGGAGAAAGGTGGTTGTATGCCCTCACTCTACCTGAGGTGTTTGTATATAGGGCCTTTAGGATGTTAATAAACTTCTCAGGCACACTCTTCTTCAATAGACAATCCCAGAGAACAGTCCTATCCAACGAATCGAAGGCAGCTCTAATGTCAAGAAACACTACGATTGTTGGCCTGTGATAAGTATGACGATGTTCGAACAGTTGGCAGAGGTGAAGATATGATCAATACATCCTCGACCAGAACGAAAACCAGCCTGCTCCTCGCGAGTCAATCCTTCTCGAGTTTGGAACAACCTACGAAGTATGACGGAAGCCAATAGCTTGGACACAATCGGAATTAGACTTATCCCCCGATAGTTATTACAGGAACGACGTGAACGCTTTTTAAAGATGGGGACAACTACAGACTCATTCCATGACGTTGGTAAACTCTCTAGTGCCCAGACTTTTGTAAACAATGTTGTCAGTTCCTTAGTTAGAAAGTCACCACCATCTTTAAAAAGGGCCGAGGGTAAGTCATCTGGGCCCGGTGACTTGTGGCGCTTCAAAAGTTGGAGTTCCTTGCGGACTTCCGCTTCATTTGGTGGATCAGTCGTCACCGGCCATGGAGGGCTGAACAGTCTGACCGATGTTGCTGGAGCAGCAGGCCAGTTGAACTGTTTAGTCTACTCAGATATGGATAATGAAATCATCAGAGTAGTGATATTGTCGAACCGCTAGCATATAGTAGTGGTATGTCTCAAACATAAGTCCGTATTATCACTTTTAGTAAACATACAGTTAGAAAAAAGTAATTTGGAAAAGGGCTTTATGGAGCAACGGCACTTTTTCACACAAACAATCAATGAACCAGTTAAATAGTTAACTATGTATTTTATTTTGTTTGAAAGATATTTAGCTCCGGCTAGAGCCCCTCTGGGGCTACTGTCGGCCCGGATAAAGGAGGAGGGTTGAGCATGGAGTTAGCCACTCCGTCTCACAGAAAACTAACTCACTAAAAAAACGCTAACCAGGAAAAAATAATTCAACCTATTTAAACTCTGTCCTGTGAGTTAGAAGGTCTTCTCATTTAGAAGAGTTGTGATGTCTCATAACGAAAACCGAGTTCTTCCGGAAGTCACGAGGTTGACGCTCCTTCTACAAACAGAGCAACAATCAATTTAGTTATATGGAATTTTCGTACAATGTGGGAGACCGAAAGTGTCATCCAAGTAGCTGCAGAATTGAAAAAATACGACTTGGAGGTGCTTGGAATCAGTGAAACATATTGGACGCAGATTGGACAACAACGACTAACTACAGGAGAGCTCCTGTTATACTCCGGCCGTGAAGAAGAAAATGCCCCACATAAACAAGGAGTTGCACTGATGCTATCTAAACAAGCACAACAATCCCTAGTAGGATGGGAATCTCATGGACTAAGGATCATCAAAGCCTCCTTTAAAACAGAAAGAGGGCATCACAATGAACGTCATCCAATGCTATGCACCTACCAACGATTACAATGAAGACGCTAAAGATCAATTCTACAATAGGCTGCAGTCAATCGTCAAAAAATGCGAAAAAAAACTTGATCATTCTGATAGGAGACCTAAATGCCAAGGTTGGAATGGACAACACCGGATATAAAGACATCATGGGACGACATGGACAAGGAGAAAGGAACGAAAACGGTGAGATTTGCAAACCTATCTGCCTTCAGTAAACTGGTCATAGGCAGCACCATATTCCCACACAAAGGCATACACAAAGCCACATGGATTTCACTAGATCATACTACACAAAACCAAATCCACCATATCTGTATCACTAAAAAGTTCAGAAGGACGATGGAGGATGTGAGAACCAAGAGAGGAGCTGATATAGACTCAGATCATCGCTTGCTGGTCGCCAAGATGAAACTGAAACTCAAGAAGCTCTAGACAACGGGGCGGACAACATCACAAAAGTTCAATACGGCCTTTCTTCGGGATACTAACAAACTTAACGAATTCAAGATAGCCCTCAGCAATAGGTCCCAGCCCTTCCATGATGTACTCAATGGAGAGGGAACTACTATGGAGAACAACTGGGAAGGGACCAAGGAGGCAATCACTTCAACACGTCATGAGGTCCTGGGTAACAAGAAGCACTATCAGCAAGATTTGGGATGAAGAACAACAGACTGAAAAGAGGGATACCTGGTCAAGATACTAAAGAAAGGTGATCTTGGCAAGTGTGAGAACTACAGAAATATCACTCTTCTCTCAATACGAGGAAAAGTCTTCAACAGGGTTTTGTTAAACACAATGAAGGACTCCGTAGACGCTCAACCTCGAAATCAGCAGGCTGGATTCCGTAAGGATCAAACGTGCACCGATCAAATCGCAACACTACGGACCATTGTGGAACAATCAATTAAATGAAACTCATCACTCTACATCAACTTCATTGACTACGAGAAAGCATTTGATAGCATGGACAGGAAAACACTATTGAGACTGCTTCAACACTACAATGTGCCTGAGAAGATGGTCAATATCATACGGAATTCCTATCAGGGCGGCCTGCTTGAGCATCTGGGCTACCTGTTCCTGCCATCTAGATATTTCAACAAGTTATCTATTGTTGTTTGTTTTAATATATCATTATGTTTATTAATCGCATAACCTATTCTGCTGCGTTTCTGAAAAGTGTACAACCTTTCGTTGTCAAAGTTACAGAAAACTCAATAAGAGACAATATGGTTGCTGGCAATATACAACGAAAAGAATGTACATTATTCAGTTGTTCATTCACTGAAGTGCTAACATCTAACTGGCGATCCCTCAATATTTATCGCCAGGACCGACCAAGAAGAAAGAAACAGAAACTTGTTGAAATACTTTGCGCTGAGAATTCTATATTGTACCAAAATTATAATATTGAATAAAGCTAATAATAATAATAATAATAATAATAATAATAATAATAATAATAATAATAACTGAAAAATCATGCAAGCAAGACAGCTGACAGGCTCATTCAAAGTAAAGACCGGTGTCAGGCAAGGTTGCTTAGTCTCATCCTTTCTCTTTCTCCTGGTGATCAAAAGGATCATGAAAACGTCAACATCTGGGGAGAAGCACGGGATACAGTGAACAGCTAGGATGCAGCTGGACGATCTGGACCTTCTATTGCACACGCAACAACAAACACAGAAGAAGACGACCAGTGTAGCAGTAGGTCTTAATATACACAAAGGGAAAAGCAAGATTCTCCGATACGACACAACATGCGCCAATCAAATCACACTTGACAGAGAAGCTCTTGAGGATGTAAAAACTTTTAAATATTTGGGCAGCATCACTGATGAGCATGGTGGATCTGATGTAGATGTGAGGGCGCGGATCGGTAGCATATCTATAACTGAAGAACATCTGAAATCAAAACAACCGTCAACCAACACCAAGGTCAGGATTTTCAATACAAATATCGAAACAGTTCGACTGTATGGGGCGGAAACCTGGAGAACTAGGAAAGCCATCATCCAGAAGATACAAGTGTTTATTAACAGTTGTCTACGCAAAATACTTCGGATCCATTGGCCAGACACTGTCAACAACGACCTACTGTGGGATAGAACAAACCAGATTCCAGTGCAGGAAGAAATTAGGAAGAAGCGCTGGAAGTGGATAGGACACACATTGAGAAAAGCACCCAACTGTGTCACAAGGCAAGCCCCCACTTGGAATCCTCAAGGCCAAAGGAGAAGAAGACCAAAGAACACATTACGCCAAGAAATGGAGACAGATATGAGAAGAATGAACAACAATTGGATAGAACTAGAAAGTAAGGCCGAGAACAGAGTGGATCGGAGAATAGTGGTCTGCGGTCTATACTCCATTAGGGGTAACAGGCGTAAGTAGTATTAGTAGCAGTAAGACATTTACTTAATAATGAATCTTGTTCAATTTCTAGGAATGTAATATAAGACCTTTGGAAGTATAATTCTAACTATTACTACGTTTTATACATATGGCCAACAATTTCACCATAAAATATCATGTATCATTACATATGACACCAGTATAGACAGATGCATAATCAGATATCATGAAAGATTTTTTAAAAAAAGCAGTAAGATATCGAGATTAAAAGTTGCTAAAGATTGATCTAAATAGAAATATAATTGAAAGGGATTTACATTTGGATGTTTGCATATGGTATGAAAAGGTGCAGCATGTGAGTAGAAAAAAAATACATTAAGCTTTCAACCTCTACATCACTGTAGTTAAGGTGGAATAATTGATTTTTATGAAGCAAGGTATTGCAACATATTTCTCTCTATAAACTGATTTATAGTATCAAAGAGACACATTAAGTTTCCGATAACAATCATTTTTATTGGCTACCTAATTATCTAGAGTTAAGGTAGTATAAACTATATGAAAATTTATAATTTTGACAAGTTACATCTTCATTCGTCAAATTTTTCATGAACATGTTACAGTCAAATAAGATTTAATATTTTCTTCATAGGAATAATCATGATGATAGATAATAACACTAATTAAGTATACATTTTTATTCATTATTTGAAACAAAGAAAAAATTAAAATGAACTTAATTGCATCAGATAGAAAGTTATTACATTTAATCGAAACTAAAAAACGTTTTCACTATTAATAGAAAACAGAATACTTTATTCCATTGAACATAAATTACCAATCATATGACATAATACTATCATTAAATGAGTAATGACAGCGGTATACTTACTAACAATATCAGTATAATGGTGAAAGTTAAGAGATAAGTTTCGATAAAAATCAATTTTAAGGAGATCATTAGTAGTGATTGGGAAGAGAAATGTTTGAAACTTGGGTACTTATATTTTAATCGATTAGTTTTTTTTTGTTTTTAAAGTTATTTCAAGTACTTTTCAGGTCATCTTGATTGTTAAGTTTTTTTGGACATAATAACTGTTATATCCCGACGAGAATAACGAACGGTAACTGTTGGGACCTTTTTATGGACTAACATTATATGAATCTTCCTAACACATAACTATTGAGTAACTAGTTTATGTATGTTCATATCTCTCTTATTATAAGCTTTATTTTGACCTACATGCTACCATTATACGATTTATTATCGTAATGTCCAGTTTATTAATTACAGTTTCCCTTAATCATAGCCACTTTTTGGCTTGATCTTGTACAAATGTTGTTTTCTATTCCTGGTATGATGTGGTCTGTTTGGCTTGTACATAAACCGAGTATGTTTGAAATATATGACGTATATTGCGGAGGTTAAGGTTTGTGTTTTGGAATTAACAGGCAGCGAAAAGGATTGAACGGGTCTCTAGGCTGTTCGTTCAGGTGTATGCGTCATTTCTTGGTCATATAAGTCCGAGTATCTAAATTTGGCAATCGTATTCGCGGTAGTCGTATCTTTAACTGCGAACACAATTCCTTCTCCAATTCACAGTTCTGGTTCATCCGAAAGGTAAATCCTAGAGGAAAGATCTAGTGGTGGAGAATTAAAGTGATGTATTTTAGTAAATATCGGTTGGATATGGATTGAATAATATTTACAAAGATATTGAAAATAGGGTGGAAAATTGATATACTAAATAAGCAACAAACCAATAAAAAAGTTTTGCCCCTTATCACAGTAAATGAAGACAGTTCCTGTGGGTATTTTCACCACAAAAATGAAACCGAAATCCGAATTTACAGAATAAATCAAATACATTTTATTATAGGGGATTTAACGTCCTTGGTAAATATAACTAACTTACACCATTGAATATTATTTCACGTAAATTTTCAGGTCGATTTACACGACCTTCTGGATCCAGTGACTTTTTCCATTGGGTCATATTCAGTGGAAGGGAACGCTGAACAGTGGGCATTGGTGGGAGAGAAATAGGGTTTGGTCTCTACGGAAAAAAGTAAAATAAAAGCAATTTGTAACCACCTTTAACAAGTTTGATATTTGAAAGTCTAACATTTTAACAAATCAAATCTCATAAATGTAGACTAAGACCCCTATTTCGCTAACAATATAATTGTTGATAATAATAATAGTAATAATAATAATAATAATAATAATAATAATAATAATAATAATAATAATATTAAACCGTTGAAGCCAGTTAGCAGAAAACCTTTCGTAGTGGTATTGCTTGTCTTTCGATAAGTATTTTTACCATGTATGAACGTTCTTAGAGTATAATAAACTACACAGAAAATATGATTATTAACCATGTATAATTAGCAATATGTGTGTAGCACTATGGTTCATCAGTCTATTGATTCGGCTTTCAACCATCGGATAGAGGACTCTTGTCTTATTTCATCAACACTAGAATAGTCAAGCTTTTTTCAAGAATAACAAGTGTGGGCTGCAGCCCCGTCACCACGTTACTATGTTTGGAGAGATTACGAGATCAATTAAATTGGCGAAGGGAAAGAAGACTCAGTGATACAATGACAAGATAAGCTAACTCTTTTGATGCGTTCCATACCCGTCGCCAAATTGTTATGACTGCATCGCCAACTATTATATCAGGTCATCGCTAATTGTTATGTCGGAATCGCTTATCACTTATGCTTGTAAGACAAAGAACAACTGCAATTCCCACGACGTGAAAGTAAGGACATAAAGGTTGGTACAAGTGAAGAGTTATTACTAGCAAAACACGATGACAACCCTAGTCGAAAATACACTCATTTATATGTTGATTTGTAAACTCATCTTGATAAATAGTTAGGATGAAATTATATATATGAAAAATACTCAGAATTATAACAAATCAGGGTTATACCGAATAAATTACCATACTGGAAAAACAAAACAAATACTACATTGAGTAATTATCACAGTGGATTAAAACAAAAATCACAATGAGTAAAAGAATGCAATTTTGCTTTTTAATTCCATCATATCACAAATAGATAGTTATTTAGTCAAACCAATTATTTTGAAATCATAAATGTCACGATTTTAACACAGTCCGTCAGTCAGCTACAACGTAGGACCAGGTACATATATGCATCGGTCAAAGTTGCCATACCTTATTAACACAACACGATGGACACCGGATTCATAAAAGTAGTTAATTCAGAGGTGGTAATATATAAAAGAAAGATTTCATATAAGGATATAGTACAAGAAGAAAGAATTAGTTCGTAGAAAGAAAGATATGAAGCGATTTTAATCTCTTAGTTTAAGGGAAGACAGAGAGTGTATACACCACACCCACGCCATTGTGATCGATTCTGAGCCATGTCACCAAGAGTCTCCAAACATTGGTTACGACAGTCACGCGGACCCCAACCAAGTAGTCTGCATCTACCAACATGGCTCAGACTAGAAGTTAGTGACTTCAAGCACTGATGCCAAGTTTTGGTTTGACCGCCTCTAACTTTCTTCCAACCATCCCGAACACCGGTTAGCATTGCACTTCGTGGTAATCGGTGTTTGGGCATACGTAACACGTGGCCCAATCATCTCAGTCGATGAAGATTCACAACCTCATCGACTGATTTACCATCATTCCCTAATACCCTGCGTCTAACCTCTCTATTACTTACCCGGTGATCCCAGCAGACGCCAGCAATATTTTTGAGGCATCTGGATCAAATACTTCCTCAAAGATAGTAAAATATACTTCAATGCGATGTCAGACTTTTAGTGTGTTTATTCCGGTTAGTTTACACCAGAAATAAAGATTTTTAAAATTTAGGATGGTTATTTCTCAATCCAAACATAAACTTAGGATTTATTGAGTATTAGTACGAAAAAATAGCGGTTAATATTTTTAATTAATAAGTAAGCAAATAGTCAAATTTTTAAAACAACCATGAATAAAATAGCTGAGGACAAAAGTGTACATTGAACATATGGGAAGTAATTATTCTTCGAAATCACTTTTCCAACATTATTTCATTAGCGAAGACAACCGTGCAGGTTACAAAAAGATAGTTAAACAAGACAAGAAATAAATATGGAAATCCATTACCGAACAAAAACAATTGATATTACCTCTAAGGGATGGTAGTTTACTTTATTTTATTTAATTTTTAAAAAAATTGGAAAAAATATATAAATGCAATAAAGCAAAACTTAAACTAACTCGTTCAACAACAGCAAATCCTCCATCATCGGTAGTTCTTAAACGTGCAGCTTCGATTTTCTGTAGATCTTCTGCAATACATTTTGCAAAATACTCTTCAGATGAGCCGTTATTTGGAGCTACATTTTCATCGATTAAATTAGGTGATAATATAGTGCTAACAATTGAGTTGACATGTATTCCAATATTTCTTAATGAAGCACCTAATTGGCCAGAAAAAGGGGACCCAATCAGCCCTTCCACTTCTGCTCTTGCTGAACTGAAATGACGTTTGTTTTGTACAAAACTAGTGACATAATACAGATATATTTTGGTTTAATAAAAATATAAACAAGCATACATGAAATAAGTAAATAGAATTCACTACTGTCTAACATCTTTTTAAATTCTAGCACTTTACTCAAGTTAACGATTTTCACGATTTGCTCCAACTAAATATATTATTCATCAGCAATCGATACTGTTTAGATAACTACTCAAAAATAAGGGGTGTAGACAGCATTTGTATGCTACAATGTTACAAACAAATATACCCATCTGGATTACGTAGAATGTGCCAATTATATCCTAATATCAAAGTTATTTATTTATTTGAACACATAAATGTTGGTACAAAGGGGCACCGAATACAAATGCCTTACACAAGTCACTTGATTTGTGTGCGGGCAATGATATTACCCAGGTGCCCGAACCGAAGTAGGTGTTTTTCTTAAGGGAGCACGCCCGGAGCTTTCGACCTTAAGGTCTGATCCACAAAGCAGTGGAGCTACTTACGGAGATGTAATCCCGTGATGTCCAGTGATCAACGATTGGTTCATACGCCATTTCTTCTGTCAGGATACTGGGCCCCATGTGCACCATTGGTTTGTAATCAGGGTTTTCCAACTCCCCCAGGTGGACTCTCCGTGTCCACCTTTAGATTTTGATGGATAGTACAACTGACAGTATTTTTTCCGCTTATTCTTCGAACTCAAAACTGAAGTTTTTGAATTAATCTGGGGTGAAATTTAGGGTATACATTGACAAAAACTCTTAAATTAAGACAGAGAAATGTTGCAAGTCAATACTTAATTTTGAAATGCGCTTTGAAATCATTTCAGATTAAAAGTAATTATATTTTACTTTTAATATGGATTATAAACAATAATTATGTATAGAAAACTTTTGATAAATCAAATAACAACAATTTCATTACACTTACGGATCAGGAAGATGGTAATTAGAAGTAAAATTATATTGTGGACGAGGTCTGACAATGTACCGATTCTCGTCATCATGACATCTAAATCAATGGACAACAATAACAATCAGTCGATAAACAAAGCAATCATTCAGATGCCCAAACAACAAAACGATTAATTCGAAATGAAGTACAGAAAATATTATAGAGAAATTTAAACCTCAAGTAAACAGGGAATACGTTAAAACTATTTCAATGATTTAAGCAACCAAACATATTGACAGAATGTATGGTTTACAGCCAACTGAATGAGTTTGTAGGTTATTCATTACAAATGTATGTAACGCACTACCTAACACACACGTATGTTAGTTTTATATTCATAAAACGAAAGACAAACAGCAGGATAATAATCTAAGAAAGAAAATATTGATGTTGGCAGTAGTGTGGACAAAAATAAAAGGATAAACCGTCAAAAGGAGGAAATACAAACAAAGAATGAAAAGAATGGGATAATACAATAGTTAAGTTACAGGAAAATAAAGAAATGCATTTAAAAAAGTGAGACATTTCTAGCCATGTCACCTAACATCGTCAACTATGCGTTTCGATTATTCGGTAAACTAATCAAGTCAGAGGCTAACACATCTTATATTAATGATCAATGATTAGTGTGATGTTTTAGTAGTTGGGGTATCCAAATTTTAGAGCCTTGATTATGAATTAGAATCCCATTTAGCCAGTCAGGTAGTGGTAGTTATACTAAATTAGACACAAAACATTTGCAGTAGAGATGAGTACATGAATTTACAAAGTGTTTATTGAGTCGTATGATTATTACCACGGCCATATTTATTGGCCAAATCAACCGTACACTCCTACAACCAGAAACAATGGTAGCTGGCCATGCGTAATACACATCTCAACCAGGTCAACAGAAATACGTGGATAGTTTCATCAACAGCTTTATCATCTCTATTTGACAATTAACCATCTAAAATCGCCCAACGTTCTCATCAAGCACGCACAATGACCTGAAGACAATCATGGTCAAATGACTGTATATTACATATGTTTTCTACCTTACAAATCCATGTTTCGAGTTCTCAAAATACTACAGAGAAAATCGCCTTGCAGCGAACGGACTGTTTAACAGGTAGACAGAAACATCGACCGGGCTACAGGTGACACGATTCGAGGAAACCCACAGGAGTACGGAAGTAATAAATATCATCATATATATTTTCTAGGTTGACAGGTTAATAAAACCACCTAGCAGACTCGAAGGCAGTTCTCTGTAGAATTGAAAATTAGGTTTACTTGATTAGCCACAATCCCCAAGACTAGGTAAAGGAACAACACTGATAATACTTCAGTCAGTCAGTCAGTAACAACGTAGAACTTCGTACGTACGTACATCAGTTCGAGTTGCCACACCACATTAGCACAGAGATGCAGTGGTCGATTCAAATCCCGTAGTGGTAGAGGTAGCAAGAGTATAAGCAGTAATCGGGAAGATTAGGGTTTGGAGATGTTATTTAAAGAGTATAATCCAGTGAAAGAAATTTGGAAAGAGGGAAAAAGGGACATGAAGAATTCAGAAGATTAGAGTTTGGGAGAACACAGAGAGTGGATGCACCTGCGCCATTGCGAACGATTTTGAGCCATGTCATTCAGGGTCTCTAACCATCGGTTGCTGTCATCTCGCGGTCCCCAACCAGGTAGTCTACACCTACCAACATGACTCAGTTCACTTGTCAGTGACTTCATGGACTTGAGCCATGTTTTGGTTTGGCCGCCCCTAGCTTTCTTCCAACCTACTCCTATACCACTGAACATAGCACGTCGAGGCAGTCGGTCGTTGGCCATACGTAACACGTGTCCCAGCCATCTCAACTGATGAAGTTTCACTACGTCATCAATTGATTTGCCATCTTTACCTAGTACCCGTTTCCTAACAACTGTGTTACTTACTCGATGGTCCCATGATATACGAGCAATGTTTCGAAGACACCTATGATCGAATACTAGTAACCTACGGATATCCTCTACTCTTACCGGCCATGTTTCACTGCCATAAAGTAGGACGGAATGGGCTGCTGCGCAGTAAACACGTCCTTTGGTTGATAGACGGATATCTCGCCTACGCCATAAATGACGCAAGTTGGCAAAAGCTAGTCGAGCCTTCTGTATCCGTGCTGAGATTTCGTCACACACCAAACCACAAGGGCTGATGAGACTTCCAAGATAAGTGAAGCGGTCGACACACTCAACTACTTCACTCCCTATCACTAGTTCGGGTGTCGATGTAACCCAATCCTGAAGCAACATTTTGCATTTCGAGGGAGAGAATCGCATCCCGAACATGCTTGCATTGTTGCTTAGAGTGGTCAGAAGACTCTGCATTTTGTCAGCGTCTTCACCAAATAAAACTATGTCATCTGCATATTCTAAGTCAACAAGTGAATCTCCCGGTAGAAGTTCAACCCTTGTGAATTTAGATGAGGAAAGTGTTATCTCTAAAAATACGTCGAAGACAAAGTTGAACAAGAATGGAGAGAGTGGACAGCCCTGACGAACACCACTTGAGGTAATCGATTCTGATGACAGTTCGCCATAAGCTCTCACTCGACCAGTTGTGTTCGAGTAGAGAGCCTTTATAAGGTTAATGTACTTCTTTGGTACTCCTTTCAGTGACAAACACTGCCATAGAACCTCACGATCAACAGAGTCGAATGCCGCCTTAAGGTCAATAAATACTACCATTGTAGGGCGCCTGAATGTGTGTCTGTGTTCTAGAACCTGACGTAGTGTGAATATCTGGTCCACACAACCACGCCCAGGTCGAAAACCAGCCTGGTTTTCTCTAGTCTGCTCTTCACGAGCTTTAGTTAGGCGTCGAAGTATTATTGAGGCCAATATTTTAGACACTATATTAGTCAAACTGATTCCTCTGTGATTGTCACAAGAGGACTTTTTTCCTTTCTTAAAAACTGGCACAATCAGTGATTGAGACCAGTCAGATGGGATTACGTCCATTTCCCAAATTCTACCTAAGACCTCAGTTAATCTCATTGCTAATACTGGACCACCATCCTTAAAAATCTCAGGAGTAAACCTGTCAGGGCCTGCTGCTCTTCCTCGTTTCAGATTTCCTATGGCTTTTTCAACTTCGTAAAGGGACGGAGGACTTACATTAACTTGCCATTCAGGTTGACTGGAGATCGTGGGAAACCGAAGTGTGGCTGAAGGCCAGTTGAACTGATCCCTAAAGTGTTCTGCCCATCGATCCAATCTCCTGGATTGAGAATGAATAATATGTCCATCTTTCTCTGAGATTGTTTCGCTAACGGTCGGGTTCCTAATTCCGGTTTCCTTAACGAGTCTAAACAATTGTCTGCTATTACCTATTGCCGCTGCCTTTTCCATCTCTCTTGCTTTCGCTACCCACCACTGTTCGCGATCATTGCGTAGACTTCTTGTCAGCTTGCGCTTAAGCTGACTCCGCTCTTCATTATGTTCAGAGCCAGGTGGAAGGAGTTTTCGAGCATCTATCAGTGCGATAGATGCTGCTGAGATCCAGTGTTGCTCCCTAACTTTACGCTTTACCTTACTAGCAGATATCACTGCTGTTTCCACAGCTTTTCGGATATCGTTCCATGCTGCCTCGGGGTGGGTATCACATACATGGCTGCCTAACTGTTTTCCTAGTTGTTCCTGAAATATATTCTTAGCTTGACTATCATTAAGTAGGGCCCTAAGAGGTTTCCTTGCAGGATCTTTCCTACGTCCAGTAAGACGCAAGCAAATACGCGCTCGCACTAGAGCATGATCTGAATCTAGGCATGTGCTCCAGAATGAGCGACAGTCTTCTATCGAGCCCCTCCATCGGTGGCTGATAGCGATGTGATCTATTTGGGTCCAACGTTGGGACGAATTAGGGGGTCGCCATGTTAAAAGATGTTTTTCCTTATGCTTAAAGTTAGTATTTACAAGGAACAGGCGGTTATCTGAGCATAGCTGCAACAGACGGTCGCCATTATCTGTTCTTTGAGCCACGACACCATAGGATCCACCTAGGTGTCTTTCCTTATCGCTTAGTTTACCTACTTGAGCATTAAAGTCACCGGCCACTATTACTACATCCGAGCGCTTAGCTTTTCGGAGAAGGTCCGAAAGCTTTCTGTAAAACTCATCTTTTACATCATCTGAGCTGCAGTCAGTGGGAGAATAGGCAGAGACGACGAAGAGGCAACGACGAGTGTCCCTATCTTTCCGGATTCTTACTGTTCCGTTCAGTCGGACAGCGCACAAACGACTGTTTACTGGGATCCACTCTAAGAGAGCTAGTTCTGCCCTAGGACTCAATGCTATACCTACGCCGGCGAGGCCACGGGAAGCAGAATCAGGGCTTCCAGATACACGAAGCGTAAATCGAGTCGGTTCTTTATTTTGGCATGGTGAGGTCAAATGAATGACGCTACTCGGATCCTGTATGCGCGTTTCGGAGACGCAGCACACATCGATGGCGCGAGATTCTAAAGTCCTAGCTAAGGAAGCCTGCTGTCCTATTTGGCACAGTGTTCGTACGTTAAAAGCTCCTACGTGTAGTTTAGAGCGTGGTTTCAGGAGACCAGGAATGGCGTTCCACGTACTCGAATCGTTTGCCCTAGCGGTGCGAGGTGATAAAGAGACGTGAGGAGGGTTAGTCGGGAGGATAAGAGAGGTATTAGGAGGTGTAGGAAGGATTTGAATGTGACCACCTTGGTCTCTTGTGCTGTCACGGGTATGAGGGCTGATGTCACTTCCCGGCTGCCCACACCGTGGAAGGGTATTTCTTGATGAACCTGAAAAGGAAATTGGATTAATGTTGGCCTTAACGACCTGGGAGCGTGACCGCAGAGCCCAAGGGACAACTGCTTGAGGCCGGTCGCGCACGGCCTTTTTGTGGAAGGTTTTTGACGTGTTAGCTCCGTTCTTCAAGGGGCCTTACCGCCGGAGACGGAAATCCGTGAGGTAAGGTGAGGTGTGCATTTTTAGGGTCGACCTTTTCTAACCCCACCCCTCCTTGTGGGAAGGCAGCATCGCTGTCATGCTGGTTGTCCGAGGGAAACACCTTACTGCTGTCACACCTCTCTACAGTCAGCAGTACGACTTCGCCCTCAGACCTTGAGTTGCTGCTTTTAGTCTTACCATTCGCCAATCGACCTGCCTGGCATGGTAGAACCTGCAGGAACATATGTTCCAGCCAATATAGCTCGGTTGGGTCATCACGATAGGCAAGCCCGACCACCGCGTCAAGGTAGCAGCTTCGATCGGGGATAATACTTAGTCATCGTGGACAAGCTAACTGCTGGTGATTTCAGGAGGAAATCGCTGAATGATGTAATACCAGAACACTAGACATCGACAAATACAAATAAATATATAAGTGGGTGAGTATTTCAGTGTATCAAAACAGTTAGCATCAGCTGGAAATGCTTACATATCTACATACAATAGAGTTTACATAGCAAAATCTTAAAGATGAAATAGGAGAGCTTTTGGTCATGAAAACTCTTACGTAGCTAGTGATGAGAAAGAACTGTGTGGTTGTCAGCCTTCTATTGCCTGGACAGCTAGTGAGTAAACTACTATATTACAAGTATTTGGACAATAAAATCACAGCACTTTACCAGTGAACAACGTTTTCTAGTTTCCGTGCAGAATTTATAATCTCAGAGCCCGATGAACATCATTTCAGAGTTTGTATAACAAGGTTTTATCGGCTATGTTGGGCATGGTTCAATTGTATTCAAAACCTCGTAACCAAACATAAGGTGTGAACACTTATTAAACAAGACGTGAAAAGTATCATGGTAAGAATTGAAATGTTTTAAGTATTATAAGGTTTGACTGTCTGCCATTCAAATTTTTTGGCGCGAGCCACGCTTTATTCCTCTCCTAAAACCTGGATATAAAATTAAATCAACTGATTTTTATTGAGTTTTGCCGGTTGGTTCTTAGCTGACCTCTAACAAAGATACACTAAACATCGCTTTATACTGACAGAAATATCGAAATCGATACGATCTACGTGACCCAGTTAAAAATGCGCTTCTTTATACAACTTGACTGAAAATGTACGATGAAACTGACTATTAGCAAGGTGGCAAAAAAATCAAGACAGAAAGGGGAGCATATCTTATATTTTTTGAACATGTTCCAAAAAGCCTCAGAACAAGAGAAAGAAAGACTTTAAACAGTGAGATCACCAAACATCTTGATACAGGACATCAGGTCGATACCTTGCAATCATTCAGGGTGATTAGTAAGCAACCAAACTCCAGTCTTCTGAAGTTTGTTGAAGCCGTTATTATCAGACGCCAAAAACCTGATTTATGTGTTCAAAAGGAGATGGTGATTAACCTTTTCTTGCCTTAGTGACTAACATTCCTTCACTGTATCTTAACATTTTTTTTCCTTTTTCTTTAAACTCTTTCTTGCATTTATTACATCATTGAGTTTTATTTCAACTATCTTCCAAATTAATAATCTTATTTTATCTACTGAACTTACTAATGTTATTCCTATCAATGTTTACACATTATATAATCACTTGTTTCTAGCCGTTTGAACGGTTGTCACAATCAGTGTTGCAGAATTTTCTTTTACATAAGGTATACATATACAATATTCAGTTTATTAAATTTATTTACACCCTTACTATACTATACTAATATGTCTTCAATATAACTTCCAACTAAACCCTCTCATGTAAGTAATTTCAACGCATTATGTAATTACGATTTTAAATATCACAGGTTATAAGCAGCTGACGAGAACCAACAAAATAAAACGAATTCATGCTATTCTGCTAGAATGTTTGTTCTTACTCTTCAAAATGATAAGGGGAACTATGTGTATGAAACAAATCAAGACTATAGACTTCAATAAATAACGGAACAAGGTATTATCAATTCCAGTATAGGTAGGGGATTTCAAATACATTTACCTTTTAACATCAGCCAAAGTACTCAAACTTCGCAAAAATGAACTTGAACCACCTTCACGGAACTCGAATGGGCCATAAGGTTTTTGTGATTTTAGGGATAAATACACTCCACGGCAAGGAAAGCATGGGGCCTTTCGTATAACAAGAAAATCCATATCCTTAATATCGATTTCATAACCTTTTCTATCTTCTTGGGATAATGACGAATCTATAAGGTAATCCAAATAGGAGTGACAATGAAATTTACCTTGATCATGATGGGGTACCCAGTGAATACTTACTTTTGATCCCTAACAAAAATTGTAATTATACACGAATCTCAAACTAACATGGTCTGTTAGGAACAAAGTTCCCTTGATTGAAATGCTATCTGCCGGGCATTGGTTTGAAATATACATCAAGTAGACGTCCTCCCATTTTCTGCAATCAATGTTTCCTGCTCCGTTCTGAAAATTTACGAAACTAACCACATAAATCAAACTGTAGGCAAAATGAGTTGAGAACAACTGATACTATCAACAACATGAGACAAAAGCGCGAAGAGCCTTGTAGTAAGCTAAAAACGTACGTGCAATAACAAAAGTTACCTATTCGGCTACTAAAACGAAACTTTGGAAGACCAGTTTGTCAAACACATAAACAGACATCTTTTTATCAAATACCTAAACACATTTTTTCGTTAAACACACAAGCAAATTTGATCAACATCTTATTCATAATAAAAAACAGACAAAGAGAACTGACCAATGATATGAGTAGATAAAACTTTGTAATAAGAGAGATTACTTAAAGCATCTTGAGATAACTAATGTTGAGCTTACGCAATGCCTCTACTACGACTGTAGTTTATAAGTCTATAACATTTCCAAATATTGGAAAGGAGTTTTCAGTGAGGAACGGAAGTGTATACAAAATGTAAAATTCCTCTGAGAATGTTAAAACTGACGGATTCATATTTGTCTGTACATATAGTTACCTTTCAACTAAATACTAACTACACTCATCTACCAAAATAGATTCACTCATCAGACTACTACCGATTAACGCTTGATCTTTAGGATACAATATAGGAAAATACGTTACATTGATATCTCGGTTCTAAAAATGCGTCATTTGTGGTAAGAGCAAAGCTTAATTTGTGAGTCCCACACAAGACAACAACAACACATTTAATCATCACTTAAAGCAAAACAGAACTGTAATAAACACCTCGTAAACAAATAAGAGGATTCAATAATAATAATAATAAAAGTTCAGGTCGTCAATGTGTTAGGTGGAAAATCTAAATACCAGCTTTCTATCCACGTTAGTATGTAATTCTGATGGCCTCATTTAGTTGTATTGGTAATAACAAATGACATTAAAATACATAAGTAGGACTTCAAGACTAAATCTAAGTTCCGCAGTTTTTAACAGAGCTTGGAGACTCAACTACACTGAATTTCTAAAACCGAACAAACCCAATATCATTAAATGTGGAAATTTCGAGATATTCTAGAGTCACAAGGGTTCAGCAAAGAGGTTTCTCATGTTACTATAGTGAAATAATGCTCCACATTATTACCATACGTTAATCAACTAGCAAACAAACCACCCGCGTTGATCATCTGACTAGACTGATTCATAGAAAAGGATTAAAACAAAATTTCACATTTTCGGTTGACATACATCCAGAAAATGAAGCAAATATTTTCTAGAAACTCTATTCTTTAGGTAAATAAGATAAACGTTAAAACTCTACACTTTTTGGCGGTTCGAAAATTCTCTGACTAGAAGCTAAGTAGATCCAAAAGGTTATTAACCAAATAAGGGAAGTTTTCGATCAACAAGCTTCCAGGTTTATCTAGCAGTGACAGATCATTAGTTATATGAGACGGATAGCCAGATGTATAGGAGCACTTCGAGTGCAGGAATAACATGTTTAGGGGTTGGGAGCTACAGAGTTATCAATTAAAGTCAGTCAGTCAGTCAGTCAGTAACAACGTAGAACTTCGTACGTACGTACATCAGTTCGAGTTGCCACACCACATTAGCACAGAGATGCAGTGGTCGATTCAAATCCCGTAGTGGTAGAGGTAGCAAGAGTATAAGCAGTAATCGGGAAGATTAGGGTTTGGAGATGTTATTTAAAGAGTATAATCCAGTGAAAGAAATTTGGAAAGAGGGAAAAAGGGACATGAAGAATTCAGAAGATTAGAGTTTGGGAGAACACAGAGAGTGGATGCACCTGCGCCATTGCGAACGATTTTGAGCCATGTCATTCAGGGTCTCTAACCATCGGTTGCTGTCATCTCGCGGTCCCCAACCAGGTAGTCTACACCTACCAACATGACTCAGTTCACTTGTCAGTGACTTCATGGACTTGAGCCATGTTTTGGTTTGGCCGCCCCTAGCTTTCTTCCAACCTACTCCTATACCACTGAACATAGCACGTCGAGGCAGTCGGTCGTTGGCCATACGTAACACGTGTCCCAGCCATCTCAACTGATGAAGTTTCACTACGTCATCAATTGATTTGCCATCTTTACCTAGTACCCGTTTCCTAACAACTGTGTTACTTACTCGATGGTCCCATGATATACGAGCAATGTTTCGAAGACACCTATGATCGAATACTAGTAACCTACGGATATCCTCTACTCTTACCGGCCATGTTTCACTGCCATAAAGTAGGACGGAATGGGCTGCTGCGCAGTAAACACGTCCTTTGGTTGATAGACGGATATCTCGCCTACGCCATAAATGACGCAAGTTGGCAAAAGCTAGTCGAGCCTTCTGTATCCGTGCTGAGATTTCGTCACACACCAAACCACAAGGGCTGATGAGACTTCCAAGATAAGTGAAGCGGTCGACACACTCAACTACTTCACTCCCTATCACTAGTTCGGGTGTCGATGAATGAATTAATGACTGTGTAGTGACTCACTTTTATCACGAGAACACGATTGGTTTGATGAAAAACAATTATTATTATAGCCAATTGTACCTGTACTTGTTTAATGTGCTCTTTTTTTAACTGTGCTAATGGCAGCTATATTATGCTTCCATTATTATTCACACACTTTGATTGTGACTTCGCGCGAGTACAGTTACGTTCTGTAACAAAGCTTGTATCCTGGCACGACCGTGGTATCGGAAGGATACCACGAGATCGCCAGCAAATAAATCTCGACTTTGTCCATTAACTGCCTTCTGATATTTGGCTTCTGTGGGATTCCTTGGAGTCATCTAGCAAGTGTTTCTCTGTAGCGGTGTTCATAGCCTACCGCGACTCGACACCACGCTACAACTGAAAATACTGTAGTTAGTGTCAAGTTCGTAAAGTTACAGCATAATATGCACCGGAATACATTAGGCAGAAGAAAAACTGAAGACGTGAACCTGATGTCAGGCTCCTGAACTTGTCCTCCTCTCAATTTCACAAAAACAATTTATCGACTTACTATGACCAGCATTCCCAAGTAGTCGAAACTGTTTCTCAGAAGTTAAGGGACTGGAAATTCAGTCGTCACTAAGTGAAATCAATATGTGTGTGAGATTACTGAGGTGTTTGCATGAATCAATGATTCTCTAGGTACTCAATATATGCAAGATTTTGATTTCCGAGTAGAATAAGGTAGTTTGTGCTCACCTTTTTCTATATGACTGTGGTGTTTGAATGAACTAATGATTTCTTTGTACTTGTTGAATGATTGATTTCGAATTTTAAATACAGTACATTCTTTCGTGCTTATCTTATGCTTGTTGATCCAATTACGTTATTTCTGGGATTCCTAGTTCGTACTATAATTCATTTACTCCTGATCATCATATTGGCGTCGCGATTGAGCCTATGATGGAATGGTTAGACATACAGTTAGATTTTGATGATTTTGAGGATTATTTCGCAAGGTTCGAAATTTGGGCTATGACCAAGGAAGATCATGAGGATGTTAATATTGTGGCACATTTCCTCACATTCATCGGAAAAGAAGCATATAACTTATTAAAACCTCTGGCTTTACCAGAGAAGCCAATTTCGCTTTCTTATACAACTCTCAACGATCTACTGCTAGACTATGTTAGTTATGCAAATTTCGAATGTGGTAAAGGAGGAGGATTTCGTAAAATGTTTCATGACGATATAAAAAATTGCACTGAATTATGTCATCCCAACCCAGTGCATACTCCATGTAACGACCGAACAGCCAATATTCGGTTGGAACAACGGACTGACGAACCCAAAATTTATTCGATTAGACCAGACCAAGTTCCTCTGTATAGCTCACAACGCGTCTTTGAGATACTCGTATTATATTATATCAAAACACAAACTCTGTGCTCAATATAAACGTTTCTAATTAAGAAAACAGAACAAATTACATCAAAAATACAAAATACCTCAAACGGTACAGCCTGTGCTATACAGTCAGAAGTTTCTCTAACGCAAAGTAGCGCGCTAAACAATGAAAGAGACAGTTAATACTAAAGGGTTTGATACCTGAGAATCAATACAAATATTCCCAATCAGATGGGATCAAATATCTATCTGCAGGGATTGCAGCAATTCTCCCAAGCAGACAGTCAGAAGGTTAAGTCACAAACCGAACCACGCCGTGACCTTGAGCTTAGTCAAACACAACCTTACTGTCAATGGTCCGGCAACATGCAATAGAAAATTAGGTAACCAAAAATAAGTCTTTAATCAAAATCACATAATAAAGGCTCAAACGAGGAAGACTGAAGAACAAAAGACATGGTTAAACGAGATCGAAACAAAGGTTGGAATACACAAAAGGGAGAAGGAACAAATAAATGAAAATACTGTTCAACAAAGAAGCTGCAGAGGGATTTTCTCTGTTCTTTTTCCGTTACACCGGCCCCCAAAATCCCTCCAGCTACGCAAAGACACCTTAGAATACATTTCTGTCATGGCTCTCCTTACTAACTGCTCTATATCAATGGGAGGCACAGGACTTACAACAGTACGCCTGTACATTCATAAACCTAAGCTACAATCTACAATTACTCGGCTCCCTCTAGAAGGCAGAGCTTTCGCACATCTCTTCTTACTACACCTTCTCTCATTCGCACCATCACTGTCTCTTAGTAATAACAAAGTGTTTGGCGTGAGCGCCAAATCATCCTTTTCATCTGACGTCGCAGGAACGATTGGGCGATTGTTTAAAATTTGTTCTACCTCCACAAAATAAGTTGCCAAGCTATCCTTGTGTAATATTTGCCCGTTGAAAATAAATAGTAAGATCCTCCGAACAGACCGTATTAATCTCTCCCGAACTCCGCCTCGATGGCTAGCTAGTGGGGGGTTGAAATGCCAGCGTATACCCTTCGTTACTGTTAAGCCGTTTATTCTATGCTTGTCACACACACTCATATTAGCCCGTAATTCGGAAGTGGCCCCGACAAAGTTAGTCCGATTGTCGCTATAAATTTCCTTAGGAGTTCCTCTCCTTCTTATGAAACGTATTAAAGCCATTATAAAAGCATCAATACTCAAATTGAAAGCTACTTCCAAACGTACGGTACGTGTTTGGAGACACGTAAATAGGCATCCATATCCTTTTTCCTCACTTCTTCCCCGACGCACTATCAACGGCCCAAAGTAGTCTATCCCGACGGAGGAGAAGCAAAACCAGCCTTGCTGCACTCGACACTTGGGGAGAGGTGCCATCATCTGTTGGCCTAATGTGGCCTTCGCGCGTATACACCCCACACATCTACCTATCACTCGTTTAACTGCATTGGCTCCTTTAACAATCCAATAATTTCGTGGTATGGTAGCTAACACTTGTAATGTCCCGGTGTGACCTTCTAGGTGGTGATGGTGTCTAATAATAAGTTCTGTTACGAAGTGATGACTGGGTAAAATTACCGGATGTCTGATTGAGAGTGGATAATCCGAGTAATTTAATCGTCCGCCGACACAAAGCAATCCATCGATTAGCGTAGGTGAAAGATTTGTTAGCTCTTTTATATCAGTTGCGCTTACGCCATTGCATCGAGACACTTTTACTGCCTCCCCATACACTTCCTTTTGCACTAAGTCTAATACCTTGTGTTTAGCTGCATCCAATTCATCAACTGACAGATAGCCCACATTAAGGGACCTGTCATTGTGACGGGAGTACATGATGGTTATATAGGTCACGTATCTTCTGAGCCATGCTACCGCTTTAATCAGCTTTATCCAATTTGAGTGATATAGCAGAATTGGACTTAAGCTATGTTTTTTTCGCAACTGCGTTGGTCGTGTGACATCTTTTAAATTCAACATTTTCTTGGAGGTTTTCACACATAAGCGTTAGTGTTCCTACAGACTCCCTCTTCCTCAAGAAGGAAGGACCCTCAATCCAGTTCTTTAAATCTAGCTCCTTCCGTATGCCTTGTGATGTCCAGTCAGCAGGATTTTCATTGGATTCTACGTGCCCCCACTGGTCCACAGATGTTAAATGACGAATAGCGGCCAGACGATTAGCCACGAAGGTGGAATACCTACTATCTGTATTTTTTATATAGTACAGTACCATCATAGAATCCGTCCAGAAGTGAGTCTTGTCAAACACATGAGGAAGGTTTTTATTTAAAACTTCCCCCATTCTAGCACTCAATACTGCCGCTGTTAGTTCCAGTCTAGGCACAGCTACCTGTTTTATAGGTGCCATTCTAGACTTACTATAGTGTAAAACGATGTCCGGTGGTTTGCGCCTGAGTATGTTCCACGAATAGACAGAGGAACTGCAACCTGTCTTAGTCAGGATCTTCATCCTAAAGTCGGCAAGAACTCTACCAGCAAAGTCCAATCGCAAAACAGTATAAGGCAACGCATAATCTTAATAAATCGGAACTGTGTGGGTCACACCGTCACCTAAGTCCAACACTATACCAGTTGTACGATCAGATGTACATAGCGACAATACCGTTTGAGTAGCAGCACACGTACCTGGTGTATTAAAAGTCTCAAACATGATCCTTGTCATCTCACGGTTTGCCTTCGGGTTCAATGAGACTGCTCTCAACAACCACGGATGTTTCTCTGTTGCCACTCGCAACCCTTTGTAGAATGTGTGGTACCACATCTTCCCCATATCACCCCACTTAGTCGCAATACCATGTTCATTTCGGTACTTCAGTGTCAGGATAACACGTTTCGATCGAGCATCGTCTCCTACATGACTGTCCTTTCCATCCATTCCCACAGTCACTACTTGATGTCTAGTTCTTCCAACAATAGGGAGTAATACGGCTCTGGGAGCATCATTTTTGGTGAAGCCAGCTTTACACATACCAGACTCATTGCAAATAACAGGGGTAGCAATGTCTTCCTCAGCCACTCCTCTAGGTAAAGGAACAATATTGTAACTTTCATCGAAGTAGGCATCGCGCTCTACTGTTGGAAGTTCATGACCTACACTTAGAGATTCCAAGGTCACTTTCTCCTTCGTTCCTGGATAATCTAACAGTTTTGACTTTTCTAGAGACTTTATCCTGAGGTCATGAGAAGGACTTACGAACCTGTGAACGTACTCCTGTTCTCTGTCATCACTGTTAGAAACAGAAGATAACTTGCTACACGACATAAACTCTCTCTGAAAGCACAGTAGTTGTTTCCTCTGTCTATCTTTCAAGTCCCTCATTTCTAATAATTGCCTTTCTTTTAACTCTGCTAAGGTAATCCTAGAGCTAACTTTACTACGTCTACTTAATAAACTAACATTAGAGTCATGACATGAAAATGCATCTAATTTGACTTGCCGTACATCTGGAGGTGCATCCGATTGCATTTCTCCGTGGCCCAATGCCAAGTTTTCGTTGACCTTATTGCGCTTTCCAGGCATTCCAGAATTTGTCACTTGAGATTACTGTTCGTTTGAGAACTGTAACGACCGAACAGCCAATATTCGGTTGGAACAACGGACTGACGAACCCAAAATTTATTCGATTAGACCAGACCAAGTTCCTCTGTATAGCTCACAACGCGTCTTTGAGATACTCGTATTATATTATATCAAAACACAAACTCTGTGCTCAATATAAACGTTTCTAATTAAGAAAACAGAACAAATTACATCAAAAATACAAAATACCTCAAACGGTACAGCCTGTGCTATACAGTCAGAAGTTTCTCTAACGCAAAGTAGCGCGCTAAACAATGAAAGAGACAGTTAATACTAAAGGGTTTGATACCTGAGAATCAATACAAATATTCCCAATCAGATGGGATCAAATATCTATCTGCAGGGATTGCAGCAATTCTCCCAAGCAGACAGTCAGAAGGTTAAGTCACAAACCGAACCACGCCGTGACCTTGAGCTTAGTCAAACACAACCTTACTGTCAATGGTCCGGCAACATGCAATAGAAAATTAGGTAACCAAAAATAAGTCTTTAATCAAAATCACATAATAAAGGCTCAAACGAGGAAGACTGAAGAACAAAAGACATGGTTAAACGAGATCGAAACAAAGGTTGGAATACACAAAAGGGAGAAGGAACAAATAAATGAAAATACTGTTCAACAAAGAAGCTGCAGAGGGATTTTCTCTGTTCTTTTTCCGTTAAACTCCAGGTTATGCGAATAATTCATTGAGGAGTTGAGATTCAGTTCACGAAGACGGGCACAATTTTGGTCAATGCTTGTCCTGCATCAGATTCCACTTCTTTATTTCATGTAAATTTTGTATTTCTAAGTGCTTTATATGTGGTGATATTGGACATATTCAGTCACTTTGTAATACTACTGTTCATCTTGCTGCAAATCATATTAAGTCTTGTTATTTTGATTCTATTAAGTTGAGTATTTATAATGATGATTTATCTTTATCAACGCTTTCAAAAGACAGTGTAGACTTGTAGCGTAGATTGGAGTCGCGGTTGACTATGAATACCACTACAACAAGACTACGTTCCAGTTAACCGATAAAATCCCCCTTAAGCCAAATATCAGAGGGCAGTTGATGACTGTAGTCGAGATGTATTTGTTGGCGATCTCGTGGTATCGAAAAGATACCGAGATCGTGCCAAAAAAGTACAAGCGTGGTTGTCGAGTGTAACCAAACCCGTGCAAGGCCACAATCAATGGAGTAGTAATAATATGGCTGTCTTTGGCACAGTTAAACAAACGAGCACAGTAAAACAATCACTAGTACAATTAGTTATAATAATGATTGTTTCCATTAAATCAATCGCGTTCTTTTGATAAAGTAGTAGGTCACTACAGACTCATATAGCAGTTCAGAGTTAAATGAAACTCAGAATTCTTGCGAGACAACAGTTTCTAATCAATCAAACTATCAGATTTCTCATCTTATTGTACCAGATATGGGTTTCCCTAATGAATCACTTATTTCTGACGAAATTCTTTGAAAATCTGAGGTAAATATGTTGAATGAACCTAGTCATGATCGAAAACCTGATGCAGTCTTGATAGATGCTGATTTTCCCTATGATCCTTTACTCTGAAATGACATTCTTAATAAATTCGAGGAAACTATTTCAGAAGAGTCAAATCTTCATGTCATGTCAAATATTATTTGTCCTCTGAATGCATTTGTATCTTGTGGGAAACTTGTTCAATGCAAAGCACGAGTACTAAATGACCTCGACTTTGATAACAATTCAGATGATTTCATATCAACTGTTGTTTATCTTTATCATGAAGTCACTTCTTATGTATACTCTAGTCAATGGGAGAAATATGTTTTAAATAAAGCCACATCATTCATAAATTGGGAATATAAATATCCAACAATATTTCGTGGTGGATGATAGTGTTGAAAAATCTATGGTTCGAATTCTAGATATTAATGACTTCATTACAAAATTGACACGCTTATTGTATACAATTTCAGGACCCAGGTGAGTCTGTTCCGATTTCGGTTGTTAATTCTAATACTAATGAGTACATTCTAGATAATACAGAGTTTTTATCCAATACAATGTCGAACAGACTCAGGATGAACTTAAGAAGAAGACGTACAACCGATTACAGACACAGACTTCAATTTAAGCTGTGGAGGATGTGGTGTTTGAATGAACTAGTGATTCTTTTGTACTTGTTGAATGCTTGATTTTGAATTCCAAATACAGTACATTCGTTTGTGGTCATCTAGTACTTCTTGATGCTATTACGTTATTTCTGGAATTCTTAGTTCGTACTATAATTCAAATACTCCTGATTATCACACTGACCTAAATTGCTTTGTTTCGGCGATTCCTTGTTCGTATAATAATCTGAATACTACTAAGCATAACGATTATTCGAAAGTGATTTTCGAATTTCTTTTGTTTTTCGAGCTGAATTGTGACATGGAAAAGCATTAAATCAAATTCTGTCAAAACATTACATTTCAATGGATTTAAGGACTATCGTAATATTTCAATGTTTTTCTTGATAAATTTGGTTCATGATGAATTTCGCTGCCATTTGTTTCCACAGTACAATTTTGCATATCATTTGTTCATTCGCACAGATTTTTCCGTGTCCAGATTTATCTTGACAGTCTTTTATTGAAGTTGTTTTTAACATGGTTTTCCAATGCCTATAAATCACCATGAATCCAAGATAATTAAGCGAGAAGAAAAAAAGTTATAGATGTAATAAATAAGTGATGCTTTTAATGGGGATTAATTGTTAATATTCTTTTGGGCGATCCAATCTGATTTAACACCATAGATAGATGTACAAACGTTTATCTCAATTAAACAGTACAAAGTCAATAGGTTAGATGAGTGTATGACCAAACGATAAAGGAAAAATTCAATTCAAGGAATATCAGCTTAATAGTTTACATATTTCAGTTGATTTTAGTTATTCTTGAATATGTCTAACCGCTCACTGTGGAATAAAATGTTTGACTATTACTCATATGTAAGTTTTCTTTAAGTAAATTCAGCTGAGAATGTAAACTTAATAAAAAACGTCCTGTGGCCCTCCATTCTGTTTCACGTTCCTCATTTGTTTGTCTCCTGAAAATAAATATTTTATTTAATTATTAAGTATTGCTATATATGTAAAAAATATGTACAGATAGATGATGATTAAATACTGTACTAAAACACAGATTAATGAACGAAGAATATTCTCCTCGATAATTTCTCTTCAGGTTCCACAATTATATATCCAAATTAATAATAATTAATAATAATCGGTCAGGTTTAAGGCAAATTACATCATTTAAAATTATAGTATGTAACTTAAGGATTGTCTGTAATGTGAAACAAAATAAATTCAGAATGGGGATTTATAGAGATTATAGTAGTTTTAAAAGTTGGATTCATGAATCGATCTAAGGTAGATCGTGGATGTGCACTGCTAGAGAGTCCCATAATAGGACGAAATGGCCGTTCAGTACCTCCAAGTTTTAAATGGTAGCCTCGCTTAGATCGACTCATGAATTCAACTATTAAAATCAGATCGTCAGTGTTGGGGTGACTAATATGAAGTGTTAACTTGAATAATCTAAGACTATCTACATATGTCTTCGGTGTATAAGCTAGCGTAGCGCATCTCAACATTCTAGATAAAAAATGCGAATGAAGTGAAAGTTATAGCTTGAAATAAAATCCTGAATGAAAATTATGCTCTTACATATAGTATTTACTCATTAAATGAACAGGAATTACGAGATAATGTACACGAATTGAACATTCGGAGAAAGATGCACTACGACATTTATCCTATCCCACAATTTATCATCTGTTGTTTGGGTGTGTTACAGATAACTGCTGTGAAGGTAAACAAAACTATTTAAAAAAGTATTATTTATCAAAGGAAATTAACCGTACAATCTAAGACGTTACGAATAAACTGATTGTCTAAATGAAATTTCCTCCCGGAACTTAAATAACTGACCACTCACGATATTTGAACTGAACTATATTTTGTAACATTAAATGAACAAACATTTAGAACCATACTACGATTGTCATCTGACCTCCATTTCGTTCGACGATTTTGAAACCATGTTTTCACTTGTACATCAGTCATTTTCAACAGGTTTGCTAGCTCATTCCTCTCAGTCGAAGCCAAGTACTTTTGTTGACGAAACTTTTTTTCAAGTGTTGTCACCTGTTAACAAGTCAGAGAAAATAACCGAAAATAAAGTATTTATCTAAATTATACATAGTTGATTTGATAAAAGAATGTGAAAAGTATAAACAATAATTAATATATACGTAAAGTTTTGAAATTAATTTATTTAAATAATGTTGGTTGCACTAAAATATGCATATGAAATGAGTTGGAGATGTGAATTAATTAGTACTCAACTGGGGTTACTGATTTTAGAAAATAACCCAGTCCTAGTACCATATTGTTCTTTCCGTCCTTTCAACTGATGTTCCTATTTATTCGGATAACCCGTGAAAATTTCAAGCGAAGTGTATCAAACAATTTACATCTTTCGAATCTAGCTGAAAATGCACTAAAAATTTACTTCAGCATTGATTTATACTATTAGCAGATAGTTTGAAAAAAACACCACTAAATTTCAACTTCTTTTGGAAGTTTACAATGATTAGGCTGTCTAGAACAATAATGAAAGCTCTTTTATTAAATTATTGAGCTCAAATTATATTACTGAAATGTGTAGAACACCTTTGTCAGCATTTGATAACATCGTATTCTAGAAGAAGAAGATACATTTCTTATAACATAAGAAGAAATAGTATGCACAACCATAACAAGAAAACTTAAGCTTCGAAATTCCCCACAAATTACGATGAAAAAGCTGTTCTTACACAAAATAAAAACATATGGTCAGTGAAATGACACGAACCTTAAGGATATTAAAATCACATTTTAAAATGCATTTATGTATATTTTGAATTAGGTTTTTTAAAACTCCCATTTTAGCCGCCTTTAGCTGTGACTCATCGACCAGCAAAACTATGACCAATTATTTTAATACTTCAAGTTTTATGTGTTAATAGAAACCTTTGAAATCAGTTTCCAGTCCTGAGCAATCAAGCAAGTGTAAACTATGTTAAACTTCACTAATCAAAGTAGTTGGAAGAGGTTTATCACCTTGTCTTGTAAACTGTTATGTTGAAATCCTTAACAAATTAACAATAATAAGAACCAGCTGTGAAAATCCGTGAAGTACGGTTATCAGTTATGCTTCCAAACAGATGTTAATATGAATTTATTGAAATAGAAAGTGTCCTAGTTGCGAGGATAAGAATTGAATTAAGTATTACTAATACTGAGATACGCTGACCAATCAGAGTATTAATCATTCTCATTCTTGTCTAATTGTTGATGAACTGATCTAATTTTTCCAATTTCCAATATAGTCACTAATCTAAGTAGCTCAACAAATAATACACCAAGTTTAGCTGTTTAGGTGTTGAAAGCAAAAATAGGAAGTCTTGTTGTAATTCATCCTTAAGTGGTCAGGCTTGTCCAAATAAAAACAAATAGAATATGGGTTTAATAAGAACTACTGATCAATTTCATGTATAAGTATATGTATTCCAATAATTGTCAGTATTTCCACTGAAAAATAATCTCAGGAACTCTTTCAACAAATTTAACGCGTTATAGTTCTTATGTGTTATCTAGTGAATGTAAGTTATCATTATATTGGTTTTCTACATTCACAAATGTGTCTGTGTACAGAAATGTGTTTAAGATGAATTGTCAAAGTAGGTATTCTAGAGTGCACAACATTATAATACACAAGTTTTGGCTATGTATGCACTTATAAAAACATAACTTCCTAAAAATGATCTCATTTTCTATGAATTGTTAAGGCCATTAAAAGTTATTTTATCAACAAAATAAAAATTTTACTTACTTGATATCTTGTGAATGATGCTCTTGGTTTTTTCCGTTTTCTAGGTATTCTACTCTGATAAGGATGTCCAATTCGCCTTGGTTCTGCGTAAATATTATTAGATAAATTTAATATTCTTGACTATAATGTTTGCGACAAACAAGAAATATATGATCACAATGCAAAAACTGCAATGATAAACGTCCACTGATGTGGTTTCAAGATTACACACAATGCAGTGATGTACTGTGACCATCACATTTTGTACTAAACATTTCAATGATGCTTATTAATATTTACTTAATAACACTGGTTGGTGCATAATAAATTTGATACACAACTTAGTACATTATCCTATGAATAATAAGACATGGTTCATTGTCTTTAAATTTGAAAATATCGGACTTTTTAACTGCCACAGTAGTGGAATTTGTCTAATCTACACATTTCCTGTTACGTTTATTGAACTAAATTTTTCTTAATACCCATGAAAATACAAGCCTATGGCAATTTAATCAATATTTAGATACAATTATTTAACTATATATTGTTATTTATATGTTTAGCAGTTCAATATCATACATAAACCATGCATAAGTAGGTAAAGATAAACTGTTATGGAATCGTTAATCTGTAAACCGAAATCAATTGACATGTTATGTGCTTTCAAAGTCGTTAGTCTTGCCAAGAGTGATGGTGTGGGTTGTTATATCTCAAAGGGCCGCCGATTAGAGGGAAGAGACTTATCGATCGGATCAAAGGATTCAGAATCTCGATAGACTATTCTGGTCCGTTGTCCCCGACTCAGCTAACTCGATCAAGAAGTCTTGGTAAGGCGCAGAAAGTGTATTCTAAAGGCAAACAGCAGATACGAAGTCAGGGCAAGCACATAAATCAAGCGTATTTATACAAATATTTACAATCGATATTGTCATAGTAAAATGTTTTTTAAACATTAATCATTAAGTTCATCAATCGACAGGCATTCAAATATTTAATCGATAAGTTCGTCAATTGACTACTACCTAATCATTTAATCGATAAGTTCATCAATCGACAGGCATTCAAATATTTAATCGATAAGTTCGTCAATTGACTGCTACCTAATCATTTAATCGATAAGTTCATCAATCGACAGGCATCCAAATATTTAATCGATATGATAAAATTACAAAATATGAGTTCTGGGGATCTATCGTCCCCAACATAGGGTTTACAATATCCTTTGGGGGTATTTTTGACATGTACATTCTCTTTGTGTTGTGATTATTTTGATATATGGCCTATTTTAACTCTTAATGAATATGTTTTATTATTCGGGACCACAGAGTGAATAATAAGTTCAATCAACTATTAAGCATGGAAGAAATTCTGGATATAATACTTTTGCATTATTACCTGACTTCGGTTGGACAACCATTTAAAACCAGGTACTCCTAGACAGTTATTTCGTTCTAGTATGGGATACCCTATCAATCTCATCCAAAATCTCACTCGGGATCAAACCTAGGATCTTCAGGGTTCGTGACGAGAAAGTAACTTTTAAGTTAATGGGTTGACATCCAATGGTTTCAATTTTCAATTTTGATTAATCTTCAATATTGCATGATAATCATTTGGACTAAATTGTGATGGTCATGAGGACTGAACGTCCCGAGTTTGATCACTTACAAAAATAGTCAATAGAAAGGTTATTCTGAATATCACTGTAAAATCAAATGCCTTTAATTTTATATCTGATTTCACGCAGCTTTGATTGCAACCTAATACTATTAAAGAAAAAATTATTTAACAATTCGGTCCACATCAGTAACATTCATCACTGATTATGTTGTGACTTATAAGATTGTTCGATTACTCCTCCCTATGTTTGTGTGTCCACACAAACATAGGGAGGAGTAATCGAACAATGCAATCAAGGGTCAATGAACATGTGCCCAGATGGCTTCAAAATCAGTGTGTGTTAAATGATCCGATCAATGTAGGAGGTAGAAAACCAAGTTCATCGATAGCAAAACACTTATAAGATTACCAACAAACTTTCAATTGAAATAATCCTTTAATTAGAACTAGATATCGTAAATTTTATCTGTTTAACACATAATACAACTTTCTTAATCATGATGAATTTGAGAATTTCTGCATGATATTAGATTTTGAACCTTAAGATTAATTTAATCGGCATTAATTTTAATTGTAAGTGATTTATAAAAAATAATAAGATTTACAAATATCTGCTGTTACTATCGTTTATCACTATTAAGTAGAACTTAAGTTTGTTTTGATATTATGCTACCATAAAGTAAACAATATCGAATTCGACTTAAACACCCTCTTATGTAAGTAATTGAACCTGTGGATGAGATTCACTGTCATGATAAGATATAATGTTCATTGACTGCATTGCATTTTCATTTTATGAAACGGAAATAATGATACATTTAACTTTCTATACATCACTTAGAAAATATTCAATACGAAATAAATTCACTTGGTATTGTTTACTTGAATCTTTCCATTGATGTTTAGGACTGCAATCGATCAGTCTCTTATTGGCATATGTGCATACTGTGCGAATTGCCTCGATATTGCCTTAAGTCACAAGCATTCTAAGCAAAGATGGATAGTGACTAGCAATGGAATCCTACTCAGGACTCGTCAGTTGGATGTACTTACATATCAGAGTTGATATTCAGTATGGGACACGAACCCAGCAGCGTTCGCTTCAAACACCATCGCGTTATCCACTTAGCTACTGAGTCCTGAGTCCTAAACATCAATGGAAATATTCAAATAAAACAACATCAACTGAATTTATAATTCTTAACATTGAAATTGAAATAATTTCAGAACCTACCAATAATATTATCTTTGGATAATTCATTTAAGATAACATTTGGATTATTAGTAAATATATGTGTTAAATATTTCATAATTACAGGATTTGTTATATTATATTCTTCTATATATTTTGTTCTTATTTCATTCAATAATTGATTACTAATAGTTGAATATTTAAATGATTTTAATATATTGATAAATCGTTTAAATTGTGCGGAATTTAAAATGTGTTGAATATTTTTATCATTATCATGTGTTAATGATTCCAATGTTTGTTTTACATTAGAATCGATTAGAAACTCTTTGAATGTTGATGAATTCAATGAATGATCTGATGATGTCATTGAATAATTATGATTATGATTCGTTGAAATAGATGATGTAATTGTTGTGATAGGTAATATTATTTCATTCGATTTATGTATATCAGTGAATGTAATTTGTGTATTATAATTTGATCTCAATATTTCATTAATACTAAATTTATCTGACATTGTTTTAAAAAAAATTATTATAAATGATTTAGATTTTATTCTTAAATTAGATCTTAATCTATAATATTTGAATATTGAAAATATTCTCTTCTTTTTCATACCCATTTTTATTGATATTTAATTGGATAACAGAATATAGTTTAATGAGAAGAGTAAATGTAAACGGATTGTTATATGATTGGTCAAAATAATTTTTCGATGAAAAGAAAAAAATGAAGAATACAGTTTGATCAGATGTAGATAGATGATAATCAGTTGGGTAGATAGATAATTTTCTATCAGATGGGTTTTGTGGATATTATAGTAATTTCAATGGTTAAGAGCATGAGTCAGTTGAAGCTACACCACCGTGGAAAATCTGGAAGCACTGGACGGTCGTTTCGTCCGTTGGATGACAGCTCAGTGGTCTAGTGGTTAAGTGCTCGTGCGCGAAACTAGTAGGTCCTGAGTCCGAATCTCGCAGGGTCGAGGTCTTGAATGCGCACTGCTGAGGAGTTTCACAATAGGACGAAACGGTCGTTCAGTGCTTCTAAGTTTCCCATGGTGGTCTAGCTTCAACTGACTCATGATCTTAACCATTGAAATAATTTTCTACTGAATTGTAAATAAACCTTAGGAATAATAAACTATAAACCTATGAAACTCCTCCTTTGAATATTATTTTGAATTAAATGTAAATTACAATCTGTCATACCGTATACTGTTTATTGGAATTTTTAAAACTTCTCTAACATTATTTAAATAAGGACCTATCTAAACAAAATGAAAATTGAATACACAAGTCAATCTAAACTATATCATTATTGAAAATCTGGAAGCACTGGATGGCTGTTTTGTCTAGCTTAGATTGACTTATAAATTTAACATTGAAAATACTATAATAAACATAAATCCCTAAAATTGAAAATTAAAATTAGCAATACATCTCTACTACGAACAAGAAATCTAAGGGATTAATACTGTTTTCGGTTAGATTCTCATTAGACTTTAATATACAGTGATATTTATAAGCATAAATAAAAATATTAAATCACTCAAGGTAGTTTATAAGTAAATGATAAGAACAAAATAAATTAAGGAACTTAAAATGATCATAAAGTATGAACTAACAGTAGGATAATAGATATGCTAGCTGTGATAAGAATAATAAAGGCTTAAAATAATGTTTCGCAATACGGAAGTAGGTTAAAGACTCGGGAAAACAGAGACTAGAATTACATTTATTAAAAGTTGTTAAAGTTACGCAATAATAAGTGTTCATATCATTAGTATATTGGAAAAAGGGTTGAAGGAAACGAACGATTAGGATGGATATTTTGACTTACTGACATACCAAATTTGTAGAAGTGCCAGTAAATTAACATTTCATAGAATTGAGAGTGGTTATGTTCCCAAACATTCATCTATGATCCATACCCACTTTTGGCTTGTGGTTAACTCTGTGTCTCATTGTACCACGGTTTATTTAACCGACAAATTAAATATGAAGAAATATGACAATAAAAAAAGAACAATTAATAATTACATCAGTTATTTAAATAAAATCATATATGAATTTGAGTTTGAAGCACTTTATAAACACATACCACTACATTCAAGTTAATATGACGAAAATGAATTTAGAGTTAGCTAGAAGAATGAAATACTTGGCCTTAATGAAACTGAGGAGGACTATCTAATAGCTAGGAATGTTTTGTTCATTGTTCTCTACCAATCAATGAATATATAAACTGTAAAGATAGTTCACGATTTAAACAGAGTCTAGTGATAACTTATAGTAAATCTTCATGATTACTTCTTCATTAGGTGATTTTTGCTCCTTGTATTTCATGTGGAACAATAAACTCTTAGTAATTATGTTCAGAACAGTTTGCGTAACACTATGTCTCTGTTTATCGCTAGCAGCTTCTTTCTTTCTGATATTTTTTGATTTACTATAGAATTTGTGAATTTGCAGAGGTTATCCTGTTGTTTGTTATCAAGGATAGAAGTTTATTTTAATTTTAAACAATAGTCAATTATTCATTCACATCATAATGACCGTAAAAAACACGTACACACTATTAACTAGCTTAAAAATAAACTACGGAAACTAGTGAAAAATAATGGTCAGTCAAGTTCAACCACTCCAACAGTGAACCAGGAGTCATTTAAGACATTCGATGATATCACAAATAAATTAAATTTGAGAATTTGGTTAACCAAAAACTGGCTCGCCGTCATAAACTATTGTGCTCAATGTAAAATATTAAGGTGTATGATTCGGTTCACTGTAATCAATCGCTGTTATGCAATAATGAAGAGTAGCAAACCAGGGTAAAAAAAATTATTTCGTGGTCACTATTTTTCAGTGATTTTTTAGCTAACGTTTATTCATAGAGAAAGCTAAACTGTTTCTACAGAGTTTCATTTTAATAATCTTCAAAGTTATCACATTTCATAGAACACAAGCGATAATTGTAACATAATAAATGATGTCTAGACCATGACGATTTGTAAATATCTTTTAAACAAGGTGGCTATACAGCATTATTAATTTTGAGAATATATAATGGTTGGTATAAATTGGAATTTTAGAACATTCTATAATATATTTATTTTCCTTGTGATTATAACTTCATGTCATAAATATAAATTCAGTGAGAAACCAGCTTTAAGTTTTTGAAAAAGTAACTTCATTTTCTCACTGAAGAGCTAAGGATTTTGATAAAAGTCATGGAACATCAAATTTAAAATAAGTCTGATTCCTGTCCTATACAATATATCCAGCTTAAAGTATGGAATATAGTATTACCCAAACACTTAACTCAATATTAGATTTCATTGGCTGGATAGTAGACCGTGTAACATGGTTTTATAATCAAAGATAAGTGAAACATCACTGAGCTAACTTTTCACATATATAACAAACATCTTATAAACTACACAATTTCCACATTAAATACTTAATAACGACTTTATTATTCTTTATACAGTTTACATTTGTATGATTAAACTACTCTTTAGATGTTGTAACACGTTTCGGCCACACTTATACTTTCGAGTTATAGAAATGGCTTACACAAACATAAAATTTAGTAAGTTCAAATAAATCTGTCATCTAAACAATCTTAAAATATTGTAGATCACTACAATTCAGTACAACTCCGCTTAAAAATTCATCACATTACATACTATCGACTTCATTTATGATTCAGCATAACGATCCTAAATCATTGTAATAAATAATTTTCATTTGAATTGGAATATAATAGGCATTATTTCTAGACATCTTTATTTTGTCCAGTAAATTTGCACAATTTTTATTTGCTTATTGCTATTCCTAGACCAATTCACGTTACACAAATTCAATTTTGTTTTATGGCGGCTCACAACGTATTTGTATTAATGTATCCAATGAATAAATTTAGATATCCATATTCAGACACATAAGGATTAATAGTTGAATTTATGAGTCAATTAAAGCTAGACTACCATAGAAAAACTGGAAGCACTGAACGACTGTTTCTTTCTAGTATGGGACCCCTCAGCAATGCTCATCTTCGATCCCATCCTCAGGATTCGAATCCAGAACCTATCGGTCTCTATCTTAGACTCATGAATTGAATTATTAAATTACTAAAATCTCCACAAAACCCCCTCCTGACGTAAGGATTATTTTTTTTTACAATACCTATTTTGACAGTATGAATATGCTGAGCATCAATTAATATTCTACACCCATATCAGTACTAAAATCTCTTGCAATCACTTCATGCTTGAATTACTTTTAATTACTTAATAATATGTTTATTCTGTTGTTAATATTTAAAACAAGAAGATTTCATATACATGAGAATATTTTGTTAACATTGATAAAATATTCTACCGTTACTATGATAATAAGTCAACTAAACATATAAACATAATATTTATTCTACTAGGGAGAAAAGAAAACTTAATTAAAAAAAATTAATCAAATTAGGCAAGTTTAATTAAGTTATCCTATTTGAAGTGAACGGGAAAAAGATGAAATTATAGTCTATTAAATTAATTAATTAAATTATTAATATATACACATTCTCTGATATGTAGTCAAGTAGAATATTTATTCCCTATTTAAAGAAGCCCATCATATTTCATCTGATTGACCTAAATTATTACTTTACTTTAAATAAAAACGAATATAACTTGATTATTAGTGATTAGCCATATGAATTAGTGTATATGATAATGTATGTTTATGCGTGATTAAGTGTTTAGCAATTTTTGTTTTGTAGATATGTATATTCAGAGAATAAATTGGGTCTTTTCTTTCTTTCTTGTATAAAGATTGACGCTTTTAAGTTATAATCCAAAAAAAAGTGAAAAAAAAGAAAGAGAAAAGACAAGAAAAGAAAAAGAATTAAAATCTTTTCACTATCTATTTAAATATCAATCTAATGATTAGTGAACAATTGATTTGATTAAATTAAAGTAAATTTCTCTTGTTTTAAAAAATGCAAAAAGAAAAGAAGAAAAAAAGAAAAGAAAAGAAAAGAAATAGATTCCAGTACTAATTAATGTTGTAATTAAAGGTGAGATGATTGTCAGTGATTATATTCTGATAGTTTATTAGTTTTAGTTCATTTCTGTTTGTTATTTTTACAAATTATAAATGGCATAAGTAAATAAATAAATAGATATTAATCAATGGATATTAACTATTCAATATTCCAATTGATGGTAAAATAAAATGTTCAAATCAATCATAATGATAATTATGTTATAATCTATTTTAAATGTCTCATTATTAGATATTCAAAATGATTAATCATGAAGTTAAACATACAAAAGAATTTTTGTAAGCAATGATGGATAGTGGCTAGCAGTGTAATCCAGGACGCGCGTTACGTCCTATTTGGGACTGTTAGCCACTATCCATCATTGCTTACAAAAAGCTCGTGAATTAAGGCAATATCGAGGCATACTCATAGTATGCATATATGCCAATAACAGACTGATTAATTGAATTCTTAAACCTCAATGGGAAGATACAAGCCAAACAATACCAAGTGAATACAAAAGAATTATTAAAG